ATTTAAATGACAATATTTCGAACACTTTTGGAATAAAGAATCTTCCACAGAATGACTTTTATTTTTAATAATAAATATGACAGAAAAAGTAAATCAAAAGTAAAGGTTTTCATTTTAAAACAGTGATTTTATTTAGGCAGTTGTTTTCAACTTTATAGCTTTGTATTAATAGTTATCACAATGAAATCAAAATTATTTTAAAGTAAGTGTTTCAACCGAAATGAATAATTATTCTAATTCCTGTAACTGTTAGCCTGTAATTTTGAATATTTTAGGTGGAATCTTTAGTTAGGCTCAGGTGGAATCCAAAGATGTAAGCATTTACGGAGTATTTCATTTAAAATTACCAAGTATATACCTGCTTGCGGTATATCTTGAAAGCTTCTTCAGTGACTTCGGTTGCTTCAGTGACTGACAGATACTGTCCAATTTTGAAATTTCTTCTAATCATAGCTTGACCGCATGAGACACCCTGTAGTACCTTACAAGTTAAAATTTATAAAGAATAATCCGATGCTTAAAATATGAGTTGTCATTATGCTAAAAACTCCCAAACAAATTTTAAAATTTAGAAACTTCCTGAAAAAAAAAACCGAAATTAGAATATATCAGAAAATTCTAAAAGAAAAACGATGTACATTGTAGCAATGTGTCAATTTAGGGCAGCATAAGGTCGGTTTTCGGTAGAGTCGGCAGAGGCCCAATAAAAAATAATATTCAATAAAGGACGCTCCTCGAAAATTTCCTTTAGCTCATTTAAAAAGTTCCTTCGATGGTTTCAATTTGCTGCCGAGTACACAGAGTGCCTTTTCGAGGGCAAAAAACTTTTCATTCGAAAACTTTCTGCCTGAAAGTCGGAAGTTCAAACGGCAGCAACTGCTCGATTTGGAAATATGGAAATCGACTTTCATTATTGTGATTATCGTCCAAAATGATTGCGAGAGTTGTAGTGGCCCAGCGCAATTTTTCCATAGAGCAAGTGCTCGAACGCGCAAACTTAGAGGGGACTTATTGAGCAAAACAAGGGCCGTTCTATCGATACAATGCCCGTCGGTTTAGAGCTACAAACGGCACCGATTGTGTCCCAATGGGCTGCCCACCTCTAACCGTCGGCAACAAATCAAATCCTGCCGCAAATCATTGTTAATGAAAATCGCGTCAATACGGGAAATTTACATCCGAGGGCTGCCTGCGTATTATGTGAGGACGATCCATAATCCACGACCCCGGGATTTCGTGATTATACCTGGGAGATCGGTTATTTAATTCATTGATGTATTTAAATCGAGATGCAGTCTACCACCAAACGCATTAAGCCGGAAAATGCATTTGTTTATTGTGAGAGCTCGGCTAATAGATGATGGTGGTAAATCATTTAATGTATGAACGACTGCTGATGTCACAAATCTGGCAAATATCCGCCCATGTGTCCGCACTTAGCTTTGTTAAACTTGTTATATGCGGATCGCTTTGACATACATTGAAGCGATGGAGGATATGTTAGAGCAAATAAAATTATGTCAAATACAATCAACTTTGCATGCGAAAAGAGTCATAACTGCCCAACACTAAGAACCTTCGGTATTATTGAGTAATTAACTCAAGCCCTATAACAGTTGAAATAACCACGAAATGCTACCTGGTGTTGAAAATGCGGATAATTCAAAGAAGTGAAGATGCATGCGAAATCGTGAGCTTATTACGGCAAACAAGTGCCAGCGAGATAAACTCCGGTTGTTTGTGCTAGTGTAGAATTAAGGGTGCAGGGATGAAGACATTATACCTCAAATATTAGCCTAGGTAACGGTTTCGGCCCCGGATCGATATTTCCAGACCGACACATGGAAATAATTTTGCCAGGAGCTCGCGGTGTAAAATACTCCCAAGATATTACGGAGACTTACCGCAGTGCGCCATCAGGAGCGCAAATGTTAATTTGGAGTTTGGGAAAATATCTAAAATAGTTTACATGGCAAAGTCGCTTGGCCTGAGATAGAGTGCTCATTCGACTCAGACAGATATCGGCAAGAACAAGACAGCCCACATGTAATTCTTGACACTTTTAAATACTCCCGAGGAGTTTATGGAGCCATTATCCGTCCGCCTTCGGCTGTCCTGTCAAGATAAAAACCGAGATTTACATAAAAGGTAGCAGTGGAGAGACAGTTTGCATTCTAACTCCCATTAAAAGTTGCTTCGAAGCGCAAAACCAAATAAATACAATTAGGCGCCTGTGACGAAAAGTTGCTGACATCAACCATCATCAACCCGACAAATGTCCATTTCCCTCTACACTAATGCGATACATTGTTAAATCACCTACAGGGACGGTTATTGAGCAATGCCCTAAATATGTAGTCAAAGTTGCCTTCTCGGTATTCACTTCCCGATATCCCTTCGTCCCTATTCACTACTAACACGACCGGAACACACGACATACCCTTATTAGTTCCGTGACATTTTAACAAATCACAACCCCAATTCTGATGTAGCCTTTAATGAAAATTAATAATGAAGCGCCCTACAAGCTAAGACAGCTCTAGCGAAGCCTTAATGGATACTGGCCAATTAAAACTATTAATTATTGATAACGCGAAAACCATATTCTGCCCTCGACATTTTCGAGGGCTGACTGCTAAGACATTTAGTCTAAGGGCTCATGTTCATGTATATTACTTGTTACGTTACGTAGGTTATTTGGACGCATGGAAAAGTTTGATTTTTATATTAGTGGCTAAATAATCAACATAAAGACTGGACTTCTCAATGTTTTGTTATCAATAACTGGTTCCTTGCTTCAAGTCGATAACTCTGACTGTTTTCGAGATATTTGACTTTGAAATCTCTAGTGATTTTTTCATCGTCTACTATTACATTGAATTTATTGAATGGTATGGTTTGTGTTTATGCGCAAAAAAAACTTTAAAAGCTGCAGAAGACTCCCGAGGCAAAAATGTATGTTCTTCGATGCGACAATTATTTATGGGAAGGGCTATTAAATGTATTAAAGGCAGAGGAGATCCTTTTGAACAATTATTTTAAAAATATAATGTTCGAAGACTTTACTGAGTTTAAAAAGCAGTTTAAAGTAGCTCTAACGTTCCTGACTAAAACTCTTCAATAGTTGTTAAGTTTTGTTGAATTTGAAATCTCAGGGGAGTTTCTTTTACTTAGAAATCCAATTAGAGTTAGTTGAAAAAATCACTGTTGCTCAAGTTCCGAGGAATAATAGAAACGAACGAAATTTCAACTAATGAATAATGTCCTTTAAAAGTTTTATTTCAAGAATTATTTTGCCACAAGCGCATTTCGACGTGCGGCGCAGTGCGATGCGATGAGCTATGATTCACCAACTCACAGAGCAGCGTCAACGCAAAGCGCAACTCAACACAGTGTTACCCAGGCCAAGTCGAAGCGACATCAGACATCAAAATGCAAAAAACGAGGATACTGAAAAGCGACGAAAACGAAAATCCAGATAATATAAATAGGAGCAAAGAAATATCAAGTGCAATCAGAAAATAAATAAAAAGTAAAACATTGTCAAAACCATGAAAAAAAATCAGCAAACCCAAGCACCAAAATGTCAACATAACATCGAACAGAAAACATTTGTTTGAGATTGAGAGAAAAAGATTTTACTCTCACTCGGTGAATACCGGCAGAGAAGGGTTCGAAATCAGGGTCCTGAGAACATGCCGGGAGATTCGCTAGACGACATAAAGAGGACTCTAGAAAGCATGAAGAATAACAAGGCTCCGTGGGACTCTGGTGTCGCTACAGAAGTGTTAAAGATTGGAAGATCAGATTTTATGACGAAAGCTCAAAAGCTCTTATGTTGACAATATCATCTGGGCACATTGCTAGAATCAGAGACAGAAGATGGACCAAAAGACTTCTAGAATGGAGACCGAGAGCCGACAAGCGACGCAGGGCCAAACATGATGAACAGATAACCTGAAGAGAATGAGAACAAAATGGATTGCAACAGCTTAGAACAGAGAGTACTGGAGACGTTTAGAGGAGGCCTCTGTTCCACAGTGGACGTACCTGGGTTGGAAGATAGAGTAACCTAGAAACTACTAGGCGGTATTTTTGTTTAAACAATGTAAGTAAATGTTTGTCACCTAGAGGTCCTAGAAAAATTTCGCAACGATCAAAAGCAACCTGAATCAACAGAACCATATAAATAATGCTTCCAACCGTTAGACCCCTGACTAAGGCGTTATTGCTGACATTTGGAAACGCGCATTTTGGAGGGACAGGTTAAATGGCCGCTCTGAATGAAACTCTTGATAGACGCGAAACAATTTGCATTTGATGATGAACGAAAAGTATAAACTGCTTCCAATTAGGACATGAAAAAATTTGATCCTCCATAGGCGGGGAAGATGGGCGATAATTTATCTGGTACAGCATTACGAGTAATGTGTTAAGAAGGTGCAACATCTGCTGCAGTGTTTTACCACTTTAGATGTGCGCTACTGATTAAAGAACGAAAATGAGAAATGGCACCGCCATTATTCACTGTTAATTGGTGCTGTATCAGAAAAGACATTTATGCTGTGCTTTTGTTTGGGAAATATTTCTTAGGCATATAATGGATTCGTGCAATCCTACTTCTTGGTAAATGCAAATCTTAATGCTCCTACATGTGGGGTAATTTAGATCAGGATCACGCTTAATATGTAATAAAGCGCGAGTACGCTTTGTGTGCTCGCTCAAGGAAATTCCGAAAATCCTGCAAATTACTGGCGCAAGAAATTTTAATCAGTAGCAAAGTTGGGGAAAAACCGATCTAATTGTAGACTATTATAATGTAAAATCAATCGAATCCACACCCTAATACGTCACGAATCACGATAAAATTACAGGACGGACACTCTGGAGGGATAATTTCGATGATTACAAGGCTCAAACTTCGTTTGCCGACAAAAGATCGAGCATACTTTGGACTATTATTAATCGGAAGCCTTGTGAAGGCAAAAAAAAACATTTCCAAAACTTAAATAATTTTCTTGTATTCAAAAGTTGTATAAAATCAAAGAAGTGTTTTGAATTAAACCTCAAATCTTCAGCGGTCGCGACAGCGGTTTGCATCGACAATGAGGTCCAGCTGGAGTCGTAAAGGAACAGTCTTCTTGCATTCCAGGGTGGTTTCTTCTACACCATTGTTGGCAAATATTGTTCAAGCACAAGTAAACATCTTCACGAAGTGAAGAACTTTCCACTAGAAAATGTTTAACCGGTCAACCCAGTAACTTTTATGTTTTATCGGCAAAAGACATTTTTCAGTGGATGTTAATATTTTCCAAAAAAATAGTACCTACCTTTGTATGCAACCGCGTACAAAACCATCACTAAAGCGCACACTGCGACTGAATATTTCATGATTAAAACGGTGTCGAAATCAGCAGGAATATGATGTGGATTGCAGGAAAATCCTCAATTAAATACTAGGCGAAAGAATGAATTATTCAAACCCATCCGAGGCTGGGGATTTACATTTTTCAAACCATGACTGAGTACTTGCAACTTGCAACAAACAATACCAGCCATCGTGAAATATTAATAAACATCAGGTTTGGGTGAAATTGAGTCATTTAAGGATTTATTTACACTTGCCATTGTAAATAAATTGAAACTTTTGAGTGAACTTAAAGTCTTTGGCTAATTAAGTTATCCAAAAGAGCAAGTTAATGGTTTAGGAGTGTGCATATTTTCGAAAGTATTATATTTGCACAGCGATGAAAAGTTTTGAAAAGTACAAGAAAAAATCGGCTCTATGGTCTTCGAAAAATTGCTGAGAGAAAATTGCAAAACTAGGTCTAAAAGAACCGTTCTATATACGAGTTAACGAGTCCATCGCAGGTCCATCGACCTTGCACTCACCATCATTAGCTACCTGTTATTATGCGGACGGGGCAGCTCATCTCCGGTCGTGAGACCCGAAGACCGCAAACCAACTGCTCTAACATCGATCTCAACAATGAAAAATTTGCGTCAAGATATCATAGTGCAAAAATCACAAACTTTGGTGTTTTAAGAGCAAACCCCAACCAAAAGGAAAACGGATATAGCAGTTGTGTAATAAAAAGAATTCTTCGAATACACTTCGAACTCATGTATTTTGGCAAAGATCCCAATTTAGAGCGTACAGAGACAGAGAACACCTATAGAAATTAAAAATAAAATATTTAATATTCCTGCTGTTTAAAATTGAAGTTAACTCGGAAACACTGGGTCTTTTGGTGACGATTTTATCCCTGTTATTACCCGAAATAAATCAAAGGAAGTCTGTTGAGCAAGGCACGGTATAAAGAGCAAGCCGTTAATAAATACAGGCCGTTGAAAAGGTCGGCCAAAGATTGTCTGGGTGACATATTTAGTACAAATGTCAAGTTTGCTAGCTGCAACTTATACGCAAATATCAAGTGCAATCAGAAAATAAATAAAAAGTAAAACATTGTCAAAACCATAAAAGAAAATCCGCAAACCCAAGCACCAAAATGTCAACATAACATCGAACAGAAAACATTTGTTTGAGATTGAGAGAAAAAGATTTTACTCTCACTCGGTGAATACCGGCAGAGAAGGGTTCGAAATCAGGGTCCTGAGAACATGCCGGGAGCTTCGCTAGACGACATAAAGAGGACTCTAGAAAGCATGAAGAATAACAAGGCTCCGTGGGACTCTGGTGTCGCTACAGAAGTGTTAAAGATTGGAAGATCAGATTTTATGACGAAGGCTCAAAAGCTCTTATGTTGACAATATCATCTGGGCACATTGCTAGAATCAGAGACAGAAGATGGACCAAAAGACTTCTAGAATGGAGACCGAGAGCCGACAAGCGACGCAGGGCCAAACATGATGAACAGATAACCTGAAGAGAATGAGAACAAAATGGATTGCAACAGCTTAGAACAGAGAGTACTGGAGACGTTTAGAGGAGGCCTCTGTTCCACAGTGGACGTACCTGGATTGGAAGATAGAGTAACCTAGAAACTACTAGGCGGTATTTTTGTTTAAACAATGTAAGTAAATGTTTGTCACCTAGAGGTCCTAGAAAAATTTCGCAACGATCAAAAGCAACCTGAATCAACAGAACCATATAAATAATGCTTCCAACCGTTAGACCCCTGACTAAGGCGTTATTGCTGACATTTGGAAACGCGCATTTTGGAGGGACAGGTTAAATGGCCGCTCTGAATAAAACTCTTGATAGACGCGAAACAATTTGCATTTGATGATGAACGAAAAGTATAAACTGCTTCCAATTAGGACATGAAAAAATTTGATCCTCCATAGGCGGGGAAGATGCGCGATAATTTATCTGGTACAGCATTACGAGTAATGTGTTAAGAAGGTGCAACATCTGCTGCAGTGTTTTACCACTTTAGATGTGCGCTACTGATTAAAGAACGAAAATGAGAAATGGCACCGCCATTATTCACTGTTAATTGGTGCTGTATCAGAAAAGACATTTATGCTGTGCTTTTGTTTGGGAAATATTTCTTAGGCATATAATGGATTCGTGCAATCCTGCTTCTTGGTAAATGCAAATCTTAATGCTCCTACATGTGGGGTAATTTAGATCAGGATCACGCTTAATATGTAATAAAGCGCGAGTACGCTTTGTGTGCTCGCTCAAGGAAATTCCGAAAATCCTGCAAATTACTGGCGCAAGAAATTTTAATCAGTAGCATAGTTGGGGAAAAACCGATCTAATTGTAGACTATTATAATGTAAAATCAATCGAATCCACACCCTAATACGTCACGAATCACGATAAAATTACAGGACGAACCCTCTGGAGGGATAATTTCGATGATTACAAGGCTCAAACTTCGTTTACCGACAAAAGATCGAGCATACTTTGGACTATTATTAATCGGAAGCCTTGTGAAGGCAAAAAAAACATTTTCAAAACTTAAATAATTTTCTTGTATTATAAAATCAAAGAAGTGTTCTGTATTAAACCTCAAATCTTCAGCGGTCGCGCCAGCGGCTTGCATCGACAATGAGGTCCAGCTGGAGTCGTAAAGGAACAGTCTTCTTGCATTCCAGGGTGGTTTCTTCTACACCATTGTTGGCAAATATTGTTCAAGCACAAGTAAACATCTTCACGAAGTGAAGAACTTTCCACTAGAAAATGTTTAACCGGTCAACCCAGTAACTTTTATGTTTTATCGGCAAAAGACATTTTTCAGTGGATGTTAATATTTTCCAAAAAAATAGTACCTACCTTTGTATGCAACCGCGTACAAAACCATCACTAAAGCGCACACTGCGACTGAATATTTCATGATTAAAACGGTGTCGAAATCAGCAGGAATATGATGTGGATTGCAGGAAAATCCTCAATTAAATACTAGGCGAAAGAATGAATTATTCAAACCCATCCGAGGCTGGGGATTTACATTTTTCAAACCATGACTGAGTACTTGCAACTTGCAACAAACAATACCAGTAATCGTGAAATATTAATAAACATCAGGTTTGGGTGAAATTGAGTCATTAAAGGATTTATTTACACTTGCCATTGTAAATAAATTGAAACTTTTGAGTGAACTTAAATTATTTCGCGTAGTCTTTGGCTGATTAAGTTATCCTAAAGAGTTAATGGTTTAGGAGTGTGATTATTTTCGAAAGTATTATATTTGCACAGCGATGAAAAGTTTTGAAAAGTACAAGAAAAAATCCGCTCTATGGTCTTCGAAAAATTGCTGAGAGAAAATTGCAAAACTAGGTCTAAAAGAACCGTTCTATATACGAGTTAACGAGTCCATCGCAGGTCCATCGACCTTGCACTCACCATCATTAGCTACCTGTTATTATGCGGACGGGGCAGCTCATCTCCGGTCGTGAGACCCGAAGACCGCAAACCAACTGCTCTAACATCGATCTCAACAATGAAAAATTTGCGTCAAGATATCATAGTGCAAAAATCACAAACTTTGGTGTTTTAAGAGCAAACCCCAACCAAAAGGAAAACGGATATAGCAGTTGTGTAATAAAAAGAATTCTTCGAATACACTTCGAACTCATGTATTTTGGCAAAGATCCCAATTTAGAGCGTACAGAGACAGAGAACACCTATAGAAATTAAAAATAAAATATTTAATATTCCTGCTGTTTAAAATTGAAGTTAACTCGGAAACACTGGGTCTTTTGGTGACGATTTTATCCCTGTTATTACCCGAAATAAATCAAAGGAAGTCTGTTGAGCAAGGCACGGTATAAAGAGCAAGCCGTTAATAAATACAGGCCGTTGAAAAGGTCGGCCAAAGATTGTCTGGGTGACATATTTAGTACAAATGTCAAGTTTGCTAGCTGCAACGCGACCGAAGATGATCTATGGCATGGAGTCTATTATTGGAGAAATTTAGCTGTAGGCAGACATAATGGAGATTGCGTTAATTTCCATAATGTTTACTCGATATCTATCTTCCCCTGCAGTATTTAGTCGCATTCAGAAACTAAATTATGCAATAGTTTCAAGCATCAAAAAGCCCTAAACTTGCGCACATTGATATGCTAAAGCAGCGGAGTGAATGCGGGCAAAAATCCGCGTTCTTTCGCCCTAGAAAACATCATTCATGGCAAGTCCGGTTTTGCCGAACTAAATAATGGCTCTATGATTCATTTTTCTTTTGTTTTTTTCGCAATGGGGAACATTCTCTTTCATGCTGACACGTTGATGTATCTATTTTTCGATTTGCAAACTGGCGCATTGGATATCACAATTCGACATCAAACAGGAAACGTATCTAACATAACATAACTGTTTGGACTAAAGAGTCCAGAAATTTTGCACCCGTTAAAGATATGCATTTTCAATGAATATACCAACGGAAATCAGTTGTACAGGTTCAAGGAAACAACAACTTTTGCATTAGCAACAGATCTTGAACAGAGAATGCTTAGATACTGAAAATAACAGCTACTTTAACACGTTTTGTTGCAGTTGATTTTCAAATGATGTTTCCATTAGTGGTTCCAATGGCTCCAACTTTTCAAAAGTGGATAACAGTTGTAACTTGAAAACACTGCTGGTCTGGTATGAGAGCAACGTTAGAAATCGGCCATAGAAGAACCAATTCCGACCAACCCAACCTTATTAATCTCTGTTAATGATGGTGATGGGAATCAATTTTATTTTCAGACGATAAACTCAATAGCCACATTGTGAATTAGCTGTTTGAATCAAATCGCAGCTAATATGGGGTTTCATGACATTGCTCGTCGGTTTAACAGTGGAGTTTCCTGATTATTTATTCCTGGACGGGACAAAAGGGCGATTTGCATATCGGCCACAGACCCGACAGGGATGCGAGTCAACTTTGCCCGACCACAATTATTAAAATTTCCTTCAGGACTGCTTTTATTCATTATCCCAGGTAGTTATATAACGAACCTGCGTCGGGTTTTCCGCACGTAGCCCACACGTACCAGGTACATTCCCTTATTAGAAGCATATTTCTTTTTTAGCTGGCTTGTTGATAAACCTACAGATTTTTAGAACTCACTTGAAACACTGGGAAAATATTTATAGAAAGACAGATGCCCAGAACTGTTGGCTGAGACACATAAGAATGTAATAAACAATTGAATATTAAATTCTGGAAGCTGTGCATTAAGTTACACCCCGACTCCTATGAATTTTTCGTTTGCCCTCCATTTGATAGCATTCGCTTAGCGCGGGGGAGGAAAATTCCAACCCTGCAGAAAATATCCTCTAGGCTTAAACATGAACTCTGTGTGCGATCAGAGGGAATTGTTTTCCATCAAACTTTTTTTGGGGAAGCAACTAAACAAACGAACGCTAACTGCCATTCGGGCTTGTTGAATATTTCCAAATGGGCCTTTCAGTATCAAAAAAAAAAGTAGCGAATAAAACTCCAGGTATTAGTGTCAAAGAGGCCGGGGGCAATTAACGATTGAAAATTAAAAGCTCTTAAAAATCAATCGCACATAATCAGTCCGAATGGACTTGATGGAAATGCTTTTGCTCTCTGATCAGTATCGGGGTTTTAATATATTTCAACATTCAACCCAGAATAGAATTTTTAGAGAAAAAATACATATATTTTAGACATTTTCCCCATTGTTATGAAACGATAAATTCTCTTTGTGATTTTAGCCTTATCATTCTGGTATATTTTCCCAATTTTCCGATAAATTAGATACAGGCCACCGTGCGCCGCCAATCTTAAACAAACAATCGTTTAGCATATAATATAAATTTTTCTCACGATTCGGATCGTGTGCCATATTGTAGTGACATATGGTCGAATAAAACAAATATCAACATATTGCCCTTTATCGGTTAGATTAAACAGGATTGGGTTTTGAAAAGGGTTTTTTTTCTCGAGTTTCGACTGCCGGAAACTCACATTGCCAAAGGAAATTACTTCAGTTTTCGGTAGATCGAGCAAACCGTCTTTTTTTCTTTACTGTTGACGATAGAATTTCGAATAAATAAAGATTCTATCGAACTGAACTTGCGGATATTCACACTATTACGGTTTCCTTGCATAATCAAAAATAACCAAGTCCTCTAATGTAGGTATGTTTCGATGCAACCTGTTGCTATTTTTTCCTAACTTTCAGGTGATTCGTCCTTAAAATGAACCAAACGAATCAATCATCAAAAGCGAAATTCCCCTAAAAAAAACCCCAACTCCACTCCTGGTCGATTGCACTTGATACCCTGAAATCGGGCTAATGGCAAAGTGGAATCGCAAACAGAAGAGATAAAGCTAAAAAGCCCAAGAGTTTATATAAAGGGCTTTTGAAAAGGAAAAATGTTTTCGCTAATGAGATGGAAAAGTGTGAAGAAGTGTCGAGTGCATGCGAGAAAAGGGAGTTTCGCGGAAAAGTTTACGCCAAAGTTAGGATGAGACGGTACAAGGCAAACGCTCGGGAAAGGAACCGAATGCATGGCTTGAATGCCGCTCTGGATACTTTGAGAAAGTAAGTGGATTTTCCGAGTGGTATTAACAGATATGTTTAGTGTCAATTGGATTTTAGATGCGTCCCTCTCAAAGTGACCCATTCAGAGATCAATTCGAGCCCGCAAAAATTATCAAAAATCGAAACGTTGCGACTGGCTAGAAACTACATATCCGCCATGTCGCAAACTCTTCACGAAGGCCGCTCTATGGATCTGGTCAGATTCATCAAAATCCTATCCCAAGAACTGAGCCAAACCACTGCGAATCTCCTTCAAGGCACCTTAATGAAAACCCTGAACACTTCCCCATATTGCAACAATCCTGATCAGGACTCTTATGCAGAACCTGATACATATTTTAAGAAATATGATTATTTCAATAATTGTGAGAACGAAAGCAGGCATTTTTGTTGCTCCAATTACTGCAACAACCGATTAAGCGGTTATGGAATTTTGTACGGAAGACATCGAAATTATGATAACTATTTCGGATCGGGCAGTGATAATTACAGGGTCCCAAATTATTATAATAATGCCAATAATTTGTGCTTTAGGTAGCTTTTCCGGATTTTCCAGCAACAATTTATAACAATTTAATAAAGCGCTAATGAATTTGCGCACAAAAATGTTTATCGAACCCTATTTTAGTGCTAATGCTATCAGCCCATCGATACAGATTAGTTAATTTATGTATTAGTTTTCTCATATATTAGTTAGTCAAATATGGATGTGATCTAATCAGGGTTTATTGCTTAAGGCCAACTTCTATTTAATAAAGTTTTTGTGTTTTGTAGATAAGTTTTGTGGAAGTTTTGGCAGAGTTTGTTATTTAAATGCATTGAACTGGCAGGTAAAATGAGCTAGAAATTTCATCAGAATTCCTCCAATTGTTGCCGTTCTTAGCTGCAGTTGTTCACTGAGTTTAATAAAAAGATTTACTAGTGCATGCAAAGTACCTATAGAATTATTTTAAATCCTAACTGCAAGTTTATTTATTCGCAAACTTCAATACATCACTGCTGTAGACAGTATCATTATTTGTTGATTAGACATCGCTTGCTATCGCAAAAATGCGCTCATTAAATGAGGATTTCCAAGAGGCGATGGCCAATTTCAGAGGATTTATTTGTGCCTCCTCATTCTTTGTACGTTTAATCTGAAATTAGATTAGATTTAACAAACTTTTCTATCTGTAAATTATGCAATGAGTGTAAAGGAGCTTTGCTCTTCAAGGCATCGGACCAATTGACCGGAACCTGTAGAATCTAGCGCCGCAGCAAAAAGAATAAATTCAGCGCAAAGTTTCGCTATTTTCCTGCACATCAAGAACCAGCTGGCAGGTGCATATAAGGGAACCCACTATTCTGCGGGTGGGCGCGATATTTAATTATCCTTGCTTGACCTATTCGATAGGTTATTGCATTTTTTCACCTTTCAGTTCAGTTCTTTTGCGGAGAATAACCAAGCACAGAGCCTTCTGGGGAAACCACCTATAGGTTAGAAGTTCACTGATGTAAACTAATCATCAAACTAGCGGCTTTTGATTGAATTCACCCCTTATCCTGTCTAAACACGATTAAAACAATAATTAATTACGCCCTGTGAAACCGATGAAGGGCGTTTCACTATTATACACCTACTATGAGAATGTATACTCCGATCGGGTCGAGCCAGTATTAATTTCCTCATTGTTCACCGCATGGGAAAGTATTAATCCGTTCAAGAACACCTGAAAATGTGGTCAATGAACAAAATGCAATTCGGCATCCGGCAAGTACCAATTGATCCGAGCGGAATCCCAAATATCGATACCAATGGGTTTTCAATGTTCCATCAGGGTACTGATTAACCCATTCTGAGATCAATCGTCATCTTAGACCTCCCATATTAACGGCTTCCGGCCAGCAAAGGCTTCCACTGGGTCGTTTTAATTGGTATATTTAGACACGGTTTTGATTAGCCTTTATGCTGAAGTATAAGTAGCAGAATGAAATATTAATTTAAGATTACAAGCGCACATTGTACAAGGCGGAATGGTACCTAACATGGGATTTGATTGATCATAGCTTTTGGAAGTTGCATCTCAGGTTTTTCACATATGTATGCCTTCATATGGCGCGTAAAAAGGTAGTTTTATATTCTATGTAATTGTCGGTCGTTTTGTCAGAGAGTAATTTCCCGCGGAAACGTACAAGAAAACCGCAAGAACAGCATCTATTACGGAATTTCAGCCAAAACTGGTCCCGAAAAGCACCCCAGCGGAGAAGGCTGAAATTAGCGAACTCAGGTAACGGAAGCGAGCGGAAATAGAAACGGAAGCTTTTCGGGCCAACTTAGGATACTGCCACCGGAAACGGATATGACGACATAGTTGCTAAGCGAGTTCTCAATGTAGCTCGGGGAAAATTGAAATTCAGTCAAGTCAATGAAAATTTAGGAGTTTTGCTGCAAAAGAAGCAGTGCGCCCTCATCCAATCTTGTTCTTGTCGATGCTCCTTCCGTGCCAGATTACTCGAAAAACCAAAAAATAGACCTAAGTTTATTTATTCCAATAGGAAGCTCTGAACGTCTTGGACACGACAAGTCATTATCTAGATCCACATCGTTTAGAATGAGTAATAAAGCCGACTTTACAGGGTACGCTTTGTCGTAATAACAGATATTTAACAGTTGAAATGTGCTCGGGCCAAATTGAATTTGCTCGTATTGTAAGAAAACGCTGCTTCCGCTGCACACTCATAATTATTATAATGCGAAAAATCAGCGGCGTGCTATAACAATAACAGTGTCCGACCTGGTCTCACCTACATATCGAGCGATATAAGAAAGGTTTACAAGTAGAGACAGATGCACGCCTATGGACCAAAGCCTTTTGGCTGTTATTCCGATATCTCGCATCGGCCCTAAGGTTCCAAAGGTACTGCGTTTAAATACCTCGAAAACCATATGTTAAGGTCGCCTTAAGGGCATCATATTAATTTAACGAGGAAGGCTGCACTGCGTACACCCATAACTAATCTTCAGCGTTTTATTGTTGCCAGCTTAAATGAAACGATATTGGTCGTAAATCCTCTCAGTGAGGCTTTATTCGATAGTTCTTAAATGAGTGTTATTATCGGGTATCAGGACGAATTTTCCGCGGGTTTAACTCCAGCTTTCAGACTAGTAGCAACTGGAAACTTTCGCGGGTTGGAAACTTTTTGAAGTTCGCCATATTCATTTCCTTAGGTGCTGATTACAAAAGTTTTAGATTTTGAAAAATGCTTAAATTACATTAACTTTGTTAGTTCTCTGCGTTAAATCATTGTTGATTCAAAAACAGAAACAATATTTTCATATGTAGTATTAAACTTTTACAAACTTTCGTTTTTTGCCTATGGAATCGATTACGAGAGATTCCAAACTGTTTTGCTACTTATGTTTTATATTCTGGAATAAGAAACCGCATTTTTGTTTCGTTGTCATACAAAAAACCTAAAAGATGGATGAAATTAGGAAATGTAAAAGTTTATTATCGTAAATATTTTAAAGAATAAATAGTAGGTTATGAAAAAAAAATAGAGATCTAATATCACGGTTGAATGTGCAAGGAACTGGTATTATTTTAAGAGCAGAAAATTTCCGAATTCAAGTCATTTAACATGCCAATCTGATTCGAAATACGTTCGACTACTTACAGGGTTTTAATTTGAATTCCAATCACGGCCCGAAGTGAACCTTCGAAGTTCCGAATAAATTTTCGACTTTCGAGGCAGATGGAATCGGATCGTTTACCGATTCCCAGATAGTTTTAGAGGATAAAATTATATTTTTTCCGGGACCGAAAACTTTCCTGCCCCACACTAGTTTAAAGTTGGATGGAATTAGTGGAGAAATATGAGGCTGCTGTGCAATGATTTAATACAATTTCTTATTTCGCAACAGAACACATGCGAACCGGAAAGTTGTACTAATAAAATCGGAATTTGGCAAAAGTTTCGCCATAAAGGGGAGACACGTTCGGCCAGATCCAAAATCAACATGATATGAAATTTTTGCCCTCTCAACTGGAATAATCTGTAGTTCCGTAACTATAGTGAGATTTGCCGATATTGGAAAATTTGAAATTCGGAAATTCTTGTATTATGGGACAGAATTTCGATGGTGCATAACATGCTTGTATCGTCTTATTGGCCATCTTGTGCCAATATAAAAAAACTTTCTTATTAGATATGTCGGATTCCAACAAAACTAAAGTAAGTTCGCGATTTCGAATTTGGAACAGCTTTATGTGTAATAATTTTGAACCTTTCGCAAATTGGATCTTTTTCCAACTTGACCCTTAACCGGTTTTTAGTCGGACAAAACAACCTGATGAGATTTTCAAGGAAGCGTCCAGATTTTCAACTTCCACACTGTTTGATTCATCCTCGATATTCGACCTGAACTATCTAATCATTTAAGAGGTTTAACCGTCATTTTGGTGATTTGCACGCCATTACACAAATTAGTGCAAATCCAGTTAGTCAAAGTTTGATTTGCAATTGAATGCGTCATAAAGGATTCATGAATGTCTGCATGTCATTTCGGCAACGTCGTCAGATCCAAATTGGAGGAATCTTGGGCGGTGTTCCATCATCAGCGACTTATTGCAGGACCGCAAAATCGCTGACAGCATACGGCAGCGACTGCATAAAGCCGATGAATTATTTAAGGGACGCATCARCCGCGAGAGAAGTGCTAAATTTATAAAGAAAATTAGCTGTTTGAAACTCCGGAACGAAGTTYGACTCGAAATAACAGAAAAAAGTTTTTCGAAGTTGGCTTAAATCGGGCTGGTTTAGATATGGCGAGTGGCTCAACGGATGGGATTKAATGCAWCTATTTTCAACACAAGCGTTATGAGTGAGCAAACTATTCTTGWATGCTGTTTTACCGATTTCTCAATGGAATATGATGAGCATAAAAGGCCTCAGAACGATCCAAGAAACACGAGGCGGGAGGGTTTTCTTGTATCCAAAAGTTTTTGTTTATCCGAAAATCCGATTCGATATTTTGGTTTTATAAATTAATTCATAGACTGTGTTCTCCACCGCCCATCGACCGTGAGATCAATRAAACAGGGCCAGAAATAACCAAAGAAGGGATTCATCAGCACCGAAATGCATTAATTAATCGCAGAAAACRAAAGCAAAATCCTAAACTTGATAGTATCATTATTCAATAAGATATTCGTCAAAATACCATYAGATTTGCTATTGTCAACATTCGTAACATTCGGGACAGAAAGGGATTCGTACAAGAAGTGTGAATACCGGATAGATAGCAAGCAATTCGGATTCCGAAACAAACCAGGAACGCGAGAAGCTCTTTTTTGGAGGCTTTCGGAGGAAGAAAATTGCTAAGCGCCATCGAAGAGAAGAGAGTTCAATACTTGGGCCATGTGTTGAGAGAAGAAAACTACGAATTTATTCAACTCATGCCAGAAGGCAAAGAACAGGGTAAAATGTCAGTAGGAAGGCACCAGAATTAATGGTTGAAAGATGAGGAGGTGACCGCTCATCCAAGTTTTCAACGGTAAAATTGCCATTTGGATCGCAAACTTTCGGAAGGAGAGGGAAGATTACATTAAAGGGTTTGGCTCAGTTAGTGTCGATTACCTGCTGATGTTGCTTGAGAAAATACATATTTTTTAGAAGCCTAGAAGCTTAAATAGAAGCTTGGCTGAACATCGAACTCTCTAGAAGATTAGAGCATACGAAAAAGTAAATACCTTAACATATGCTGACGCTTCTTCACAGGAACATGTATTGTGCATCAAATTAACGAGTCATTTTTTTAACATCTGTACATGTGACTTTCTGAGGCATCATTTTAAGATACAATCGCCCACTTTTACCATCACACCGTTCTTGCATCTGCTATCTGATGGAAAACCGGTTCGCAAGGTTTTAATTTCCAAACGTTAAAAGACAGACCACATATCTGAAGAGCGGTCTCTCATTAACGCCCATTCTTGCGTTTTTTTGACTTTTTCATACATAAACTGGGCGCAAATACATTTTGAATGCCAAGCGCCTAATCACGTCTTATTGACGGCTCCCACGAACCAAACCGTCACATGGACGTATCTCTGAACACTATGACGTGATAGTCAGCTAATCTGACGAATCAAGTAAATTGTGCTTGCACTAGTCCTGCCACTGGTTGCATGGAACAAGCCTTAATAGCGAGTGCACTCGTATATGAAAGAAAAGCGCATGCGGTCAATGTAAAGCGCCTCGAACGAACACCGACCCGAGCCGATCCGCTAGTCGATTCGAATCGTGCTAGTGAGTGGGTCTGTTGTCCTGCTGTCCTTTGTTTGGTCCGGCGTCCTGCTAGCGCCTTAGCTACAGCTTATCGATCGGATAGCTGAGTGCAACCGGCAGACACGCTGGTTTGGTTGCCATTTAATTCGCAACGTGGCGAAGCTTGCAGGTAATTTTTAAGGCTTACTGGCATTGAGGCAAGACTACAACAGTGTTGAAATGCGCAATGAGATTGGGTGGATCAGTTAAAGAGCTTTAGCTCCATTGGATGGAGAAGCAAAGGAAAGGACATTGCTCGGATGAGCTTTTGCCGGCTAACGGACAACTTTTTTTGTTGGATGGAGAAAATTTTTCCAGATATCAACGATGACTAAAATTAGATAATTGAGTTACTAATTCGTGTTTTAAAAAATATATTTTGCACGCCAGTGTTCCACAAAGTTACATCGTTGACTATGCCAACTGTCGGAAGCAAAAACTGAGTTTTTCGATGTCCGAAAATTCTAAATAAAAGGGATTTTTTCGCGGCTTGAGCGGGCAAATAATGGGGTTGTTGCACATTTTTTCTTTCATATAACTGAGTAGTATCTAGTCGTACCAAATCTATCCGCAATCAAAGTTTATACTTACACAGAGCGCGCCGAATCGACGAGTATTGGCTTATCGTAATGTGACGTCACGAAGCAGCATTGTGCTCCGCCACATTCAGCGCTTATACGTGTTTCCATGCTCTCACGTGAATATCGTGTGTTGGTGGTTTGCGCTTGTTTCTCAATTATCGAAAGTAAAATGGCGTATAAGTACTGTATGGTGCCACAGTGTACAAGTACCACTACGTCTACACCAGGAAAAGCATTTATTAAAGTGCCATTAAACGAAAAGAAACGGAAATTGTGGTTGGAAGCAGCGCGGCGACACTGCACCGATCGTTCTGCAAAAAGTAACATTTATGCCTGTGAGGATCATTTCGATGTAAGTTCGCATAGAAGCAATCTTATTTATCGGGTTCTTAACGCGGTGCGTTCGTTAGATTTAGGTTTCACCTTTGTTTCATTATGTGCAATTTTTGTTTATTGTATTTCACAGCTTGAAAATGACATGGAAAATTTTATGGAGTGGAAAATGATGGGAGTACAGAAAAGAATGAAAAAAGATGTTGTTCCACATAAATTTGCGTGCCAAAAAGACAGAAATCGCAGTAGTGACGCTCCTGTACGAGCCGTTGTTTTGCAAAGTAATAGACATTATTAATTATTAACATATAAATGACGCTTTAGATGCATTCAGACCCTGAAGAGGAGACATTTCACTAATAGGAACAAGCAAAAGATGTTTCAAGAATCGAAAACTTAGTTGTAGTCAGGGGGGGTTCCAGCTTTAAAGTCAAGGGGGGGTTATGTAGAAAAAATACAGTCTTCTGTTGTCTATGAAATTAGAAAAATGATCGTCGTTTTGTGCATGGTGGCGCAAGATTATTACAAAATTTCGTGTTTTCCGTCATGTTTCTCGGAAGCAAAATGAGCAAGATGATGTTTTTACATCATTCCAGAGATAACTAAATGGCTTTTATTTGAAGTTTCTCAAGAACCATTTGAGCCACAGAATTCGTTTTGGCATCGTTGGATAGAGAATTGAAAAGTCGATTCAGTTGTAACAACGTTAGTGAGGAAGTTCGAGTAGTTTTGACCCAGAAAGCGAAATTTGAATATCAAACACTTAGGTTCAAGATTATGCCAAAATTTCATGTTTTCCGTCCCGTTTTTGCTCACATCTCGGACGCAAAATGAGCAAGAACGCTCATTTGTACATCATTCTAGAGAGAAGTAACTGGCCTTTTTCGAAAGTGAACCATCGATAAGGAAATGCTGGCAGTTTTCTCAAAAAATGCTTGAATTCAAGAAGTTTTAGGTTTGCGTGGTATTTTTTGAGTTGCAAAATCCACTTGAACATGACGCTGCTTTTTTCGAAGTGTCTCAAGAACCATTAGAGCCACAGAAATCGTTTTGGCATCGTTGGATAGAGAATTGAAAACTCGATTCAGTCGTAACAACGTGAGTGAGGAAATTCGAGTAGTTTTGACCCGAAATTTGAGTATCAGACACTTGGATGCAAGATTATGCCAAAATGCCATGTTTTCCGTGCAATTTTTGCTCATTTCTCGGAGGCAAAATGAGCAAGAACGCTCATTTGTACATCATTCTAAACAGAAATAAATGGCCTTTTTAGAAAGTGGACCATGGATGGGGAAATGTTGGCAGTTTTCTCAAAAAAGGCTTGGATTTAAGAAGTTTTAGATTGCATTATCTCCCATAAAAGAAAATCGGATACCAAAAAGTTATACTCCTCATCAGAGTCAAGTTTAACGAGTGAAATATCAGGGAACGTATCAGAATTCTCAGGCAGTTTGTCTGAGAGTTCACTCATTTTTTGAGAAGCACACTTTTATCAAAATTTAAAATAATCCAAGATTATACCTGGGTATGAATAAAGACGCTTTAGTTATAATTAACCTACTTAGAGATACTACAAAATTGGATTTTGCAATATTTATCTCTATTTTGCTGAATTAGGTGATGGTTTTGGATTTTCATATACGCGGAGGTCGCAGGTCCCGCCAAAAGCAATAAATTTTTCTTTTTCTCAAAATAGTTTGTCCGCTTAAGACGCGGAAAAAAATCCCTTTTATGTCGAGAGCAAACCTAACGGTCAACTAACCAGTGAAAATGCTAGCGACTGCATGAGATCAGTCACGCTCTTTGATTCTTACAAAGTTCTGCTTTTTTTCGTTTGATTCAGTTTTGGCCGACTTAAGTTTATTTTAGTTGGTTATTTATCCTGCACAATTAGCAGTGCTTTCTTTTAATTTAGATGAATTTGCAAAAACTGTACCGTACCGTACGTAATAAAGAAAAGAAGCATTAAGCGGCATTTGCTGAAATTTCGAACAGTTCAAGAATTTAAAAAAATAAGTGAAAACCGCAGCAATTGCGATAGGTAAATCACAGATCGTAGCCAAAAATTAATCATCACAGTTTCACAAGTGAAATTTTTTTAGGAATTTTAATCAATTTTTTGTATAAAAAACCGCCGCATTATTTACGCGTGTTTTTTAGACTCTTCACTCGCTATCAATACATCAAATTCTGCGAAATTGGAAATGGCTTCGGGCAAAAAATGGCGAGAATCGGACACCATCAAGTTTGTGGAACTATACGAGAAGGAGGAGTGCTTATGGAACTTTCGACACCCGGTTTACAAGCACCGCAATGCCAGAGATAAAGCCATCCAGAACATCATCAAGGAAATGAACCTACCTGGTTAGACATAGTTATAAAAAATTGAAGATTCTCTACCTACGGAAATTTTGCAGATTTTGGTGTAAACGAGCTGAAGAACAAAATAAAGAACATTCGAAGCACCTATCAGCAAGAGGTCAATAAAATCAAGCGATCCAAACAGATGTTTGTTGGGGATGTGATGGAGGAATACAAAACTAACCTGGCCTGGTTTCCAATTGCTGATCGCTTTTTAGGTGCAGTCATTAATGGCACCAAAAATTATGCCAGTAAGGTGAGGTTTACAACTAAAAAACCAATACAAAAAAGGCAAATGAATAAACAATTGCAGGGTGATGACGACGAATCGTCATTTTTACAACCCAATCCATCCGCCTTGTGCGGTCTAGTCGAAACAGAGCTGAGCAATGGATGTGTTGCGGATCCTCCCGAACCAATTTCCTCTTACAACATCTCCATTGACCAGATTAAGGAAGAAGTTGATATTGATGACTACAACATCTCGCAACCCTTAGCGCCAAAGAAGCGTAAAATGAGCAATCATCTGGTGTTTGAACCTCTTAAAGAAGCAAAGTAGGGTGTGGTTTACTCACTAATTTCTCAATGAGAAAATTTGCGGGTTTTAGGGCCGATTCTATAGAGGTGTTCCCGAAAACAACCCCTATAGACGAAGGCCAAAAAGACGAATGGTACTATTTCACGAACAACGTTGCCTGCCAGTTGAAGACATTGCCGCTAGAAAGAGCGCTGAAGTGCCAGAAGAAGATCGTTGATATATTGACTGAAGAACGGATAGACTACATAGTTAAGCAAAAACTTGACGCTTCTAATAGTCCAAACTCTACCTGACCAAGGGTTTGAATGAGGCGATCAGAAAAGTGAAGATTCAAACATTTTCCAATAAGAATCGTGATAGGAATATTATATTGTTGATAATTGTAATTTGTTCCTCTTGTTATTTATTTTATCAGTGTGTGTGTGTGTGTCTGGGTTAAATTAACACTTTGTACAATGACACTGTTAATTGTTCTGTGTACAGGCGGCTCTTTTTTCGACACTTTTATAGGGTATCTACGTAAGTGTTAGTGCGTAATGATTTGTTAAGTATTTGTAAATACTTCTGCAATTTGTATAAAAAAACCCTAAGTTGATCTCAATTTTTTTCATGTCTATTGTCGCTTTTAGGGTAATTTTAGTAGATATTTTTGAATTTAAGCCGGTTTGATGTCGAAATCTGCAATATTTTTCATAAAATATTTGAATAAAATGCAGAGTTGTTTTTTCTCCTCCTTCGTCCTTTGCTAACATATTGATAATTAAAGTCTCTTATTCCTCATGATTATAATCATGAGTAACTTCTATTCGCGTTTTACGTAATTTCGAGTAAGTTCACATTAGTTGAAAACATTTTTTTTATTTAATAATTTTTATCACAAAACATGTATTGTTGTTAAGGTGCGGTAAAATTTAATTTAAATAGTCCAAGCGGCTTCCGCAACATTAATAAATATACATTTTTTAATTAAAACGTCAACACCCTGTAGATCGGAAACTAAGCATTTCCGGAACATGGTTTTATAACGAAGTATATAAAAAAAGCAAATTTTGATGCACTATCACCTCCTGCAAGAAATTCATCTACTTACCAAACACCCTGTATATTGTTATCGGTAAAAAACAACAGTGAACTATCCTTTGTGTATAATATCAACATCTAGTAACAGCAAAACATAAATATACAATGAATTGATAAACAATAAAATTACAATAGTAAATCTGATTGTAAATAAACTGAAGAAAATGTGTTGCAATCTTAAAATAAAGTTCAATTGGTACAATAGAATACTTACAATACTTGTTCCGAATACAATTTTCTCAATTAAAAATCTTATTTGATAATTTTATCTACATATTTGTGGAATGGAAATATCGGGTAAAGATGAGTTTGTTTGACTTAGAAGATATTGATGTAGTTATCAATTTTGGTTCGGTGCTTTTGGGCGACGCATTCGGCAATCCAGACGATATTGCGGCATTCCTGTTCCTTCAGCTTCAAGTAGGAATAGAATACACCAAAATGAAACTGCTGCATAAAGGCGTTGATATTCAGACGCACTTCGTACTCAAAAAACTTGTCCTCCAAGGTTTTATCTCCCGGATTATTTCCAGCTCCTTCAAACAGCTTTTGGTACTCTGCATAGTATTCGGCAACAGCCTTAACTTGATCATAGTCCTCGGCTCTTGCTAACGCAGCAAGTCCATCGGGATGCAGCCTTCCGCAGCGAGGATACAGCTTAGCTCTATCGTCTTTAGACAATTCCGTTCCGAAGGAATTAATGGTGATAATAATAGCTCGGCGATCAGCTTCAAACTGCAGGATTTCACACATCGACTCAGCAGTGGTGCCCCCGATGGCTTTGCAGAAGTCATAAAAAGATTCCAAATATGCTTTGTACAGAGTGTTACGGATGATCTCAATGTTCATCTCATCCAAATCCTGCTCGGAAATGCAATCGACGAAAAACGGGGCCAAAGGAGTATCCACCAGCACTGCGTTATACAGCTCGGCTGGTGTTGATGCCACATGAATGGCCTCCATCTGCTCAAAACTGCCAAGAGGATGGCATTTGGGAATCAGCTCCCCAATAGGCCTTTGATGCAGCGTTCCAGTGATTAGCAAAATAATATTGTCAATCATGTAACTGTAAGTGATAAAATCCAGGAACGTGGAAAGTGGCTCCACTGCTTGGTTCCTCATGTGCTCAAATTCAATCACCAGTTTCTCGCGAAGTTTATCGTCGATGGTGGAAACGGCCAACGGTGATGGCTCATTTGCCAGAAATGTACCATAGTCTGTGCTTTGAAGATGGAGCTTCAGATCTGTAATAGAAAAGAGTTTATTAAACCTGATTCTCCATTATATAAGAGGTACGGAAAAATATGTGTACGAGAAAAATCGATATGATTTCTCAAAGAATGAAGCAAATTTGCGACATTTGTGTAAACTCCCGGACATTTTCAACTTGGAATATTATGTTCTTATAAAATGTATCTGTAAAAAACAATGCGGCAAATCTTTATGAGAATTGCAGCGTATTTGTCGCCTTCAAACCTTAAAAAGCTGAACTCCCCTACGAAGTTACCTTCGTGTATTGTTAATATTTACTATATTAGATGTATTGCTAGATTATAGTGTAGGTACTTAACAGAAATCGAAACATACATATTTAGAACCTATTTAGGGTCTTTTAATTAACAGGTCTTCTCCTTGCTTAACTCAGCCTAATAAATAGCTTCCGAACATGCTCCCACTTGCATAGGTTTGATTTGTGTTCCCTTTTTTATGTATGCATATAAACCTGCGGGTCCCATGACTGAATACGTGGATAATCAGGGTTAAAGCATGTGACTATCCATAAAAGATAACGTGAAACAGGGTGTAGTGGCCTTATGGGGTTGGAATATCGCATAGACATAGACAACATAAACACTGGTGTTGAGTGCCCTTAAACCCCTACTGCTTTATTTTCAATCTGTGGTTCCTGGCAGGTTTTCAATTTTGAAGGTAAAAAGCTCCCAGACAAGCAACCTTGATTTTAAAATCACCAATTGCTAATGAGGCAAACGGCCTTAACGAAGGAAAATGAGCCAATTGGACTTACCTTCCAAAGATTCGCACTGCACCAAATTGAGATAATCAGCATGTTTGAGGATCCCGCACTTGAATCCTCTGCACAAACCCTCCAAATAGCCATTGTCGATATTGAAAAGGCAGCCTTTCATCCTGTTGCTGTGTGGTTTCGAATTGAAAACGGGGCCCAAAAATCTATACACCTCGCCCGAGCGTCATATGATTTTGACAATCCTTGGCAGATCATGTGATTGTCATGTGCAGTTTTTCTAACTTTAAAGCGGGTTATTTGAGGAAGTTCTTTAAGATGGCGGCACTATCTTCGATCGTCGAAATTTGTGCTTTTTGAAGGCGTTTTAGGTTAAGAGAGTTTCAAGACCCTTTTAAATTACAAAATGTTCAATTGTCTAACTTAAATGCTACGAATGCACGAAATTGAACGCTTTTCAGACCCAAAAGCCACTCAAGGGACCGGTAATGAAAGAAAAAAAGGAATCTTTTTTGTCTTGACGGAAAACTGACAAGGGACACAGATGGCTACATTTCTCTGTCTTTAGCAGCACTCGCGCAAGTTCAAATATGACATTAGTTGCATAAAAATTGTGTTTTTTACGTGTCCAACAAACTTTCGTGTTACAATCACGCAATATTTTGTGTTAAAAGTCACAATTAATCAGATCATTAATAACTTCGAATATATCATATTCAAAGATTATCCGTTATCGAGCTTGCATTCACGGTTTTTTCGCTTGTGAATTAAGCAATTGATGTAACTATGCTAAATTACGTGCGTTTAAGTGAGTTTCAGAATATACTCATAATGCTTTTCTTTCACTTAACTTTCAACAGCAATGAAAGACATTGATTAATGTCCCCGACTTCCTGATGACGATATAAATGTTCGAAACGCACGCACCTAATGTAGCTCACAGCGTCTTAGTTAACCATTCACAAAATTCCGACGTAAGATATCCAAAAAACACCCTCAAACTTTGCAAGCCCTACAATTATCAGTCACGTATCTGCCGGTTTCTTGGTTGAAAAAAATTTCAACCGCAAACACTTTGTTTCCACGATACCTTGTTTTAGAAAAATTAGAAATATTTAATCTCTACGGATTATTTTTTAGGATATTCCGGTTAAATGTAGGTATAATCTTGATTTCCCATTGGAGTCTGTACATAACGCAATGTGTGAAGTCATGTACAATGCTTTTTTAAGCACAATGCGCCCTTTTACCAGCTCGATTTATGCGTAGAGCGAACACCTTGGAAAATTTCAAAACTTTCTTGTCGCTTGCATTTTCTTCTGAGCTGCCCCCGTTTTAGCGTTTGTAAAAGAGGCAATTAATGCATGCGTATTATGTAACATAATTTTAAGAACGACTCTAGAGGTTTGTGGCTTATCACATATAGAATTAGGGGCACTGTAAAAACTGTGAGTGCTCCGAAAACACATTCACATTAACCACTTCTTCATTAGGAAAACTCCCGACCTTTCGACTTTATTTTGAGTCATCTTAAGAGCTAAACAGAAGTTTGAATATCCGTGACCGAATGAAAGAGAACCGGACCTTCGCCAAAAACTGGCAAAAATAATTCTAAGCGTATTGTTATAAAATGCATTAAAAAGTCTGTCTCGAGAATGAAAGAGAAAACTGAAAAATGCATATATTTCGCAAACGGTAGGGAATATCTGAAACGTCCTAAGAACCATTTTGTTAGGACGTTTTGAGATTTATTGTTGGTTTCTTAGACTTTGGTGTATTGAAAGCTTTTAACAAAATCTCCGATTCCGAATTGTTGTTCCCATCAAAAATTACTTACCAGTGGTAAAACCTAGAGCAAAAAGTTGGAATATGTGCTTTTCCCAAAACTTTGCCTCAAAGTGTACAGCGTTCAAAAAATACAGGAAATGAAAACAAATCAACCGATTTCAAAGGATCAAAAAGTAGTTTAATTTACTAAACACAGGGCCGCATTAACATTGTTTTACAACCAAAATCCGCCGTCATGCGACAGATCCACGATAACAAAAATAACAAGGCACTGTCCAATTTTTTTGGTCTATTCTCTTATTTCTACTTATCTAATTCTTTGTATCTATAAAATAAATATTTTATTATTTATTAGTTGAAACAAACCGTTTTCCACATTTAGAAATTAAACTAATTTATTTTCTCGGTACAAAATTAACTACTAGAACAGATATATGGTCGTTTGGAGAATTGAAGCATAATAAAATAATTATTTGGCATAGCGTCTCTGGTGGAGACTAAAAAGTTTTTCCCAAAACGACAATATTTGGTAATTATCGTACGATATAAATATATAAGGGTTTTCCTGAGTGCAACACATAAAATTATATTGAGACAAAAATTAAATTTATGATTGGCCTAGTATATATTCACATGAAATTGACTATAGATCAGTATTATGATTGGTTCGCCATTTAGAAACCTCTTAATTTACTTAAGTAACAAGTTCTTTAGTCGGTTGCAAAAATAAGGAGCTACAGTTAGTGAGCAAAAATTCAAACCATATAAGTATACTTGAGATCACAGCAAATAGTCTTTAAAAACAAGATTATTTACGGACAATAGATTTTGCATGATTGTATCTTCATAATACTGATTTGTTCGAAAACCGACTTCTACACACAACGTGAATGCATTGTCTCGAAAAGCTTCATATTGCAACCGCCTTAAACATTTGCAAACTTCAACAGCAACAGTTGTTAAATCTGATCATACTGAATCTACTGAGTTTAGTTTATATACAATTAATTAGTACCTATGCATCCTTACAATTTACGTATATTTACATATTTTTTTTTTGGTAAATGTATATTTTAACAAGTTTTCTGGTCAAGTGCACTTTTCAAGTAAAAAATACGAACTCTTCACGAACGAGTCCTGGTTTAAAACATTGCATTTTTATTTGAATTTTCCGGTTAAATCATTGCAAGTTCACTTGCCACTACCCGTTTATAAAGTCTAGGGTAGGTATTGCCGAAGTAAAATCCAAATATAAAATGTACGATTTTCACCTGCTATGTACTGCTATCACATTTATCAATTTGCAATTTTGATTAATTTAGTAATCCAACATCGGGCAAAATAGTCAATCGACGAGATTTCGGTTGCGTTTTGTAAGCGAAATTATCAGCAGACCAAATTTCATTTACACATCATATTACGTAATTATAAAATTCACAATTATACATTTTTTGTTGACATTTTATAAACATGCTTACTGCCATCGTTACAGTAGATTAGTAACTAAAGTTCACAATTCTAGGAAAATTTATTTAAGTCCATGGATGGTCTAATTGTAAGATTTATCAATTAGGCAATAAACAAGTATAAAAAAGTTGCATAAAACTAAATATAAATGACGAAAACGTTTCCTCTCAGCTGTAACATATTATTTGTAAGCATGCCATCAGAGTATATTGTTCATCAGTTATTTATAGAAAAACAAGAAATAGTTGATAAAAGTTGCAAAACTTGTACCTCTATTTCCTATACATCATAAAATTCGAGCAAAATCTCATTTTTCAATTGCACTGCTTCATAATAACTCAAATTTTACCATCTTCTTTCGTAAACAAAAAAAAAGTAAATTGTCAATGTTAAAAACACTGAAATAAGTTTTCCTAATGTTACAAAACGTATCCTCAAATCTTTAGTCAATGAAATATTGTTTTCGACAATTTAATTTTATTTACTTAGCGGTTTCGTTTCTTGGATTACCAGATACAGCCGTTTTGCGCACTTTCGTGCAGGAAATGAGTTCCTGAGACGCTCTAGCCTTTCGCTTTCTGGTGCTGTTCGGGAGCGAGATGAACACTGATGGATCGCAGTCGATTTCCAGTCTTCGACAAAGGATTCTTTCGCTTTGCCTGATTGGGGTGCACCCCACTAGGTTCCTTCTTCTTCTCTCATGTCTATAAGAAATTACGGAGCTCCTCCCAGATATAGGAATGCTACTGGAATCGGACGATATTTCTCTTACGCTATTATCGCTGCTCACTTCAGGATTAGAAAATCGCGATTCGTCCCCTGAGCTAATTCCGCCTGAGCTAGTACCGGCTGAGCTAATGCCACTGGTGGTACCGTTAGTTGAGGATATATCAGTCTTATTAGAAGATGAAGTCGAATTAGTTCCGGTGTAACTATTCTTCATTCTGCGTCTTTGGGCCAATTTAGCGCTGCGCACTTCTTGCAATCGGAAGCCTTCTCGTTCGGCCTGATGGAAGGCAGTGAAGGTAGTCTGCAAAGTCCTTTCGGTGCTAGTTCTTGCTGAAAGGATGTCTGGTGTTCTCAGTACATTTTCAAGAGCCCCGTCGCTGCCCTGCACCCAGTGATTGTTTTGTAGATCGATCATTCGGAGCCTATCACTAGGCTTAACGGTTAACAAGCCGGCTACCACATTCTTAGCATCTTGCGATACATCATCCCATGCGGAAGAGTCAAAACTGAATTGTCCCCGTTTGATTCTATTCATTATTGAGCTGACAGTTTCTTCGTCCGATCTGGCGTGGAACGGGACTTTTCCGGAAAGCATCGTGTAGAGGATCACCCCCAAGCTCCACAAATCGCAGGTTTCATCATAACCCTCCGGATCGCCTCTTAACACTTCGGGAGCAGCATAACCCAAAGTGAAACAAACTGTTCGTTGGGGTTCCTGTTCGGTTTTCAATCGGGCAAAGCCAAAGTCGATTATCTTAATTTCAGCGTCATCAGCTGTTGAAGTGAAAACCAAGTTTTCGGGCTTTAGGTCTCGATGGACCACCCTGCGCTCATGCATAAAACTGAGAGCGGATACGAGCTTTTTAATAATAACGGAAGCTTCGCTTTCCAAAAATCTAGTTTTGTTTCGAATTCGATGAAAAAGTTCTCCACCGTTGAGGCATTCCATTACCAAATAGGTTAGGTGATCGTCTTGTATGCAGTCAACTAACTTGACAATATTCGGATGGCCCTGGCATGCTCTTAGTAAGTTGATCTCTTCGGTTAAATTGCGTCCATCAGACGACACGATTTTTACTGCATATTCTATGCCAGTCGACTTCTGCACGCATCTTCGGCAAATCGAAGACGCTCCCTCGCCAAGACACGGTTCGTTTGCATTGATATCATATTTGCTTAGGAATTGCGCCCCATATTGCATATTAAATGTATGCTGACGTAATCGCTCAGCAGGAGGTTCTGCGGGAGACTCTGCAGGTGCCTCTGCAGGTGGTTCTGCAGGACGATCTACATGCCATCGTTGCGGACACACTGGCACTGTCAGTACATTCCTGGCGTATGCGATTGAAGGGGACACGTACGAGTAGCCTCTAAATGCTCTCTGATGGGATGGAGTTTGAGACGGTGAAATAACTGGCTCCATCTTAGTGAATTCTTCACTAAAATTCGACACATCCAATTCTCCCCTACAAAACAAATAACCAATATTAGCACATACATCCCAACATTTCAGCAACTAAGAGAAGTAGTGGCTGTATCTCAGAAACAGACAATTGATCTAAGTTTCTAATGTTATGCCAGCCATCCTCAATAGAGGTTTTTAATAATCAACTCAGTCAAGTCCAGGTTTCTCCTGGTTGACGCTATCAATCGCCTTGGCAAAGTGTAGATGTTACTGTCCAGAAATATGAATCGGTATCGGCAGTATATTTTTCTGGTCAGCCAGGTCGCCTTACTTAACGTGCTTAGACATTTACTTAGCGCATGTGAAAAATTGAAAATAAAAGGGAAACAATAATCCGCACTTAAACTCTGTTCCACAGCAGTCTAGTTCCTTTCAGTCGGTTAAGACAGAGATCTTAAAGAGTGGTTTTCACTATTTTTTTCCAAGAATGCAAGATTTTTAGTTTCTGAGATGCAACCTTTTATACAGAAGGGTTCGTTAGTTTGAGAAAACCTCTTACATCGATTTCCCAAAGACCCTGTATACTCTGATAAATAATACTTACTTAATAATGGGAACAAAAGGCGGACGAATTTCCTTTCTGGCCACTTTCTCCCAGTCCAAACCCTTGAAAAACGCATGTCTTTTCAACTCTAAGGCATCTTCTCCACGACCTCCCAAGCGACGGCGTGGATCTTTTATTAATAGTTCACGGATGAAGTCCGATAAGTCTTTTCCATAAGCTGCAATCACAAGAAAATTGCGTTAGTTTTATTTCATTTTCATGTAAAAACGTAAAACTTACTATGCGGTAAAATGGGAATGGGCTTTCTCATGATTCTGTCGGTAACCTCGGCCTGGGAGTTGCCTTTTCCCTCTACACTGAATGGAGAGGACCCAGTCAGCATTTCAAATGTCAGCACACCTATCGACCACCAATCAGACGTCTGCAAAAAATATAGATTTATAATTCTCTAGATGGACTGTAAACAGATATAAGGCTGTTTAGTAGTTTTCTCATCTAATATTCCGGTGTTTTGAAGCAAATTGATGTTAGTTGGACAGTTGAAACTGAATATGAATATCGTTAACAAGTGATCTTGCCTTGTTATTATTAGACAAAGCGGTGTGGCGACCCGAAATGTTCCATTTAAAAATAGATTCATACAAAAGCATGATTTCCAAATGGCGTGAAAGAGGCAAGCTCCGAGTTTTTTTAATGATCGTGCCTCTACACTGTGTGCCAAATCAAAATTATTTTCTAAAGGTATTATCGTTCCATTTGATCTCGACAGTTTTGAATGTGGCAGAATTTCTCAAGGATAAAATTAAGCGTCATCGATTTTAGATTATTCAGTTTTCTAGGTCGAAAATTACGAATTACGCGTTTATAGCGAGATATTGAGGGCATTGCAGTTTTATTTTGGGAGAACGAAATATTTGTAATCAAGACGTTTATGTATTAATTTATATCAGTTTGATTGAACACGCGAACATATGGGAGAATGCCGAAACATTCACAAGCACAAAGCGAATTATTGAAATTTCCGACACACCCACCCGAGACACCTTGATGGTTGCCTGGAAAAATTCGCATTGCCCATAGTAAACCAGGTGTTTCACGAATAACGGGCATTATCTTAACCAGGTATACGGCCGAAAATAATCTCAGTTCGCGTGATAAACGATAGCTCAAAAATGCTCCCAGTGGCTTTACAGGATACTAGATCTCATTGGAAAATCACTGAATAACAAATTTGCTTTCCTTTAAATTAACGGATTGTCAATTAAAGTGCCCATTGGAATTGCAAGCTTTTAATAACAGAACGTATTATAAACAATACTTTTATGGTAAAACTTAAACATATTTTCAAATGGCTGAACTGCTTGTTGCTGTTCATAAGTGAAATTTCGATATAATGAGTGGTTACTAGTTCAAAAAAGCAGGCCAACAAATATAATATTGAGTCCTCCATGACCTACGAAACTGGTTTATTTGCATTTTGAAAGTACGTATGCACAAATCGATTTTGCGAAGCAACAAGTTACATCGAACTATAAATAAAGCCAAATAAACTTTGCACTTTCGAGTGCCTGATTTAAATAGCCTCTGGCGAATTTAAGGGGGCTTTTTCGGGCTGTGGAACTAAACACTAATGAATTTTCAGATCCGATTGCTTTTCTAAAACAGGTGTAGGAATTTAAGTGTTTTTTGGGTTTTCCGCTTTAATTTATTCGAAAATACTCAATGCATGGATCAGAAAACCAAAAAAATCCCAATTTTAATCATGCCCTGTTCCAGAAAGAGAATGTTTGATTGAATATTTCGAATGATGGTAGTTTCAGTTGGCAGTAATAATTACTCCGCTTGATCAAAAAAAAAGATCAGGTTGATTATTTTTACCATTTGTCTCGTACCTGCGCTAATGAAACATTCGCATTAAAAAATCCAAAAATACTTTAATTTAGTTACAGTTGTTTCGTCACACTACTACGTCTCGAATTACAAATACGCTTGTTTATTTGGTATATGCTATTTTAATTTGTTTATTATGCGATCAGGATGCAAAACATATTTGTCTATTTAACGATCAACAACAATACGAGGCAAAGTGACAAATAGATCAATAAAAGATGGTAAAACCCACAAGCCACCATACTTTAAGATTCTCTAAAACCTCTTTTACAGTAAACAAGAATGAATCCATCATTTGAAACGAGGAACACCGAAATATTAAAGCAAATGCGTAGCAGTGGCGATCAAAAAAATAACGCTAATCAAAATTTAGAAAAAAATCCGCAGTAATTTCTGCTTCTCTGTCTATAAAGTTTCTGTTATTATGATGCCAACCTAAATAGTATTATTCGAAAAGTTATGGAATAACAGGCCAGATTCTCCTGTTTCGTGAATCATGACTAATGTCATGCCACGATAAAAGCCTTTATATCCCCCAGCAAGAGTAACATTCCAGCTTATCAAGCGTACCAAAAAAACCGACAAAACATTGCACGCTGGTTCCCCACCCGAAAGAAATTCTGAGAATGTTTTGATTAGCGTTCCCTTTTCAATATTAGCTCAATACGTATCAGCTGCAACTAAAACGGACTGTCAAGTGCACTGTTAACAATAATAAAACACAATCACGTTTACATAAACGACGCATGTAACTGTTCTTTCAGACATCTTCATACAACGGGTTAATATGGCCGGATAAAAATAGACCTCGAACTGAGGATAAGTAGGTCGCGGAAGAAAGAGAATTTTATTACTACTTCGATTCGATCAGTTACAAAATTCAGAATGTAAAAAGTGCTTCCTCGTTCCTTTTCACCTGGCACACGCCTCCACTAAATGGTACACTGATCCTGCTGCAACGACCTTTACCTGCATCACATGCAATTTATGGCTTACGACCTCATTGTGTAATCGCGAATGACGCAAAGGGTACCCAGGTTCCTCTCCGAGGCTGTCTTGCTCGTATTAGTAAAAAGAGAGTGAGATAAGCGAGTACCATTCGTCCTTGGTTCAAAAGGTGACCCCGTTTCGGTATGGCGGAGTCGGTAAGCTGTGGTACTGTTAAATTGACTTAGACAAGTCGAACATATCGTTTGGATGGTAGAAAACAACGAACCAACTAAAATAGTGTCTTAGTGACTGTTCCCAGTATCCACACTGTGTTGATCAGATTGTCATCAAACCAGAAGTTTCACTTTCTTATTTCGCCTCACAAAAGAGCTCGTCTAAGCTGGTTACTGAACGAATCGACCTCGATTCAGCTCTTTCTTTTTCCATTTAATATCTGAAGACAATTTCACTTTCCTTTCTTCGACGGTCGCTTACTTCATACCTGGTAAAGGACACTGTTAACGGTACTCGATAGTTGGATGAAGTAACTTCGCTTTTGCTCGATTTTGTGCAGGCAAAACGCTTCAAGCACCTTTTAACATTATACAGTGAGCGGCAGTACATTTACTGAAATTATCTCTTTTTTGTAATTTTATTCAATTGTCTACAAAATTATAATCATTTTTTATGTAACACCCTATGCTTATCTTTATTTACTGACTAAAACTTACTTAACTAATTAAAATTAAGACTCCTAAGAGTTGTTTACAATCCAAGGTGTATGTAAGTAAATCGGTCACAAAATATCGAAACCGAAATCAGGCAGGAATTTAGGAATATTGACAGAAACGCATTCAATAATGTCTTTATGTAAACTATTTTAGTCTTAATTTTAATTAGTTTACCAATTTGGGTGGCAATTTTGCTTACGACTTTCAGAGGCCAATTTCCCAAAAACCCTTAAATATAAATATGAGGTATGCTATACAAAAATGATTAGAATTTTGAAGGGAACTGAATAAAATTACAAAAAAATGTGTTTTTCTGGCTTTGATATCATAACTTTTGAACCATAAAAGTTGGTTCATAAAATGTGCAATTAAAAACAAAAATCGATGTGTCCGAGTGATTTTTGCAAAAATAAACACCTGATCTTTAAAAACTATTCCCCTTAACTGTATGTGAAACCCGTGTACTTTGCATTGTTGTTGAAATGGCCAATTGGTAAAGCGGTTCTGTTTGAACACAGTAGGGAATTCTTAGAAAGAACTCTCACACCTGGGAATTTTAAGCTGATAGAGGCCATGAAAAGTTTTCACTCAAAGCGTTGTGAAAGCTTTGGCCAACCTAATTAGTTCCATCTATACCAATTAAGTATTGGCTTTAAAGCTATGACTTAATATAGGTAACAGTTGCTTTGAATTATTGCAGAACTTAATAAATTGTCGCTAGATTTCCATGCAAACCATTGCCACTTCCTTTCAGACTGAAATGGTAAATTTCAAATTAGCTCGTAGCGTGAGAATAACTAGCTAAAGACCAAAGGGTACAGTAATAACGTGTAAATTTGCAAACTGATACTGTAAGTGATTGCAAAACAGAATGTTGCTTGATTTATAGTACATTAATTATTAGAAAAAGGTTTTTTTTGTGGAAACAATTCGACCTTCCGATATCTTCATACGCGCTAATAGCTGCACATCGATTTGAGTAATAGGCAAAATTAAAATATCTATTTAACTTTGATTAGCTGCCGAATAATAAATAAATATTAATATTAATCAGCCCTGAGATCAGATAAACAAAACCGTATCATTAACAAGCTTGAATTTAAAAGTGGAAAACAACTACTGTAAGGAAGATTCATTAATATTTGGCAATTATCGGTGAAGATCAGCGTGAAGATCATACTGGCGAACGTCTGATGTTGTTTTTTAAGATAAGTTTCTTGTTTTTCGTTTGAGGGACGTTTAGTGAACTTAACGAACGTTTGGATCAATATTTTGTTAATATTAATATTTATTTGGCCCTTCGTCAATAAGCGAAGGAAGGCAAGTGTGTCATAATAACTATTACCTTAGTCACCAATTATTAAAATCCCCATAAACAGTAAGTTGAGAAATATTGGAGGCAACCTTGAGCGATTGAACCATTTTACTTATCATTATTACTGCACACCCTTATTTATTCACCTACATATATGAGCGGGTCTCCAACATAAGCGCCTCGACTATTTAACCTACATAACTTCAATCCAATGTTGAGATGAAGAAGTAAATAATATCGAAATTCCAAGGTGATAATGTGCAAGTTCGCGTATCTAATCGCCAATAAGTTGTTACATTTGCTCGAATCAAACGCGACATGGAACAGAAAAAGCGAGTTCTTGCGATTGGCCAAAATCTGGGCCATCAAAGTGTGTCACCACCAATACATTGCAACACGATGCCAACGATGCAATGCCGGGCCGGCATTTTTTCCCTTTTTTTAAGTAAAATACTCGATAATAGAGAATAACAAGAGATGGAGTAGAAAAACAGATGATTTGGCATTTGGTTAAAAGAAAGATTGAAAATTCACTGCCACTAAAATTTGCGTTTAAACACGCTGGTAAAAAATAGGAACCCTTTTAGTAATGAAACATTTAGATTTGTGAACGTATGCAAGAACTTCTTGATGCAGACGACACAATAGTTTTTGGGCAACCATCTAAATAATGATGGAAAACGGGCTGGTTGCTTTAACCAGCAGCTAATTTATGTAAGGAGGTCGGACATTCAATATTATGATGGCTGTTGTATTCGATAATTGAGCGATTTTGTTGTCGCCCAGACACGAAAATTTCATTTCAATGGCCCCTGTCAGGTGGAAGTAGGATATCAATTTAATTATTGGGAAGGTCGTACTGTGCGGAGGAATCGCATGCTACAATTATGTAATAACTACTAAGTTGAGTGGAAATATGCGACTGAAGTCTATAGGTCGTTCGATAATTGAAATATGTTACTCGGAAGGTCGTTGCAAATGTCGTCCGAAGCATGTGGGAGTGAAAATTCAATTCCGGTCAATAACGATTCCACGTGCTGCGAGTGTATGGAAAGTCGAGATGCACGTTTCCAAACTCGCCGGAATACAGAGCTTCAATTAAGGCCACGCAAATGTAGTTTCAAGTCGAGAATTTTCCGATGTTTCCATTACACGTGCATGAAACGCCTCATGTTTGCTCGCGTTTTCGCATTTAAGCAGTCATTCGGAAGCTCTTGATATGAAATGGTCGGTTGATCCATCGTAACGCAAAAGCAATCGGTTTAAAAAAAAGTAAGCCAAAGTAAAAGGAAAGAAACGCACACCAAATTAACCATTCCATGGGAACAAGTTGGAATCCTTGTTAATGAGAGTAAATTCACTATGTCCGCCGAAAAAGTGTTACGACAGTACTGTTACTTGCACGCGCACCAGGCTCTGAGCAAGTAGTGTAACGGAGTAACAGTTTTTCAGCATACTTTGACCTCAATCTGACTTGTATAAACCGGACACGACATTAGAGCCGTTTTCCTTGCTCTTCCGGTAGTCAGACATGCTAATTCCATTGACTACTTAGCTCACAGCCCATCTTTCTATTAACGGACAAAACTGACTAATTAATTAAATTGAAACTCCAAAATTGTCGATACAACTTTTAGCCCTTTTCGCGACCCTCAAACGGTGGGCCATTGTATTGTATAGCGCCCTAATCGATTCTGTCCCACACGAGAGTCTATTTTCCGGCGAAAATGTAGGTTTTTAGGGCAAACCCCATGAAATTAATGAAGGTTTCGCATCAGCTCGATAAATAACGCGTTTACAATGTAGACCACTTGGTAATCATTTTTGAAAATAATTTTATCGGCTCTCGTTTCAACTGCAACCAGCTGCATATGATCAACTTTCTTGTCCCAGAATTTTAACAACTTTATATTGTGCTTAGTGCCAGCGCATTTATTTCAAGCCATCGGGCTTCATTAACAATTTATTTAGTACATTTAGTAATAAGGTCCTTAAACGAGCTGAATAAAAAGTAGCAAATCGCTTAAGTCAGTATTGTCTGTCGTATATGGATTGGGTTGACCGGCTGTTACTTTCTAGTTTAAAAAACCGCTCCAAGGGGTGAAAACACGAATTTGCATTATTTCTCCCGACATACCATTCGGAACCGCACCTTTTGTTACCCTTATGTTCTGCTTTTGTCGCGCCTGAGTAGCTTAATTTTTAAAACGCCGTTAAAATTAAAATTAATGAGTACTAATACAATGTTCAGGAATTCTTCACTCCAAGACTTGGCTCGTGACTCAACCTTTGCAATTAACAAATGGTTTAAATTTCGAAAACCTTGTCCTACTCTGCAAACTTTCACTTGACTAGATCAGTTTGCAAAACCTAGAATTTCTCAATTTTCTTTATTCACCTCGTCTACGACTCTCCAATCCTCTAATTTGCGCTTAATTAGACGCTTATTTAATATTTGGAAATCCCCCATATTGTGCTTTCTGGACTTGATCTTCACTTTCTCTACTTTCAATTTAAAATGATCAGTTTTGAAACTACTTCCTCATGGTCTGTCGGTTTGAGGAGGCAAAAAAATATTCCGTTTGCAAAGCTTTATGAATAAAATTTGCTGAGAAATTATATCCATTATATCTACAATTTACCAAACTTCATCACATAAGTATCCATGAAACATATGCATCTATTGTTGGTTTTACTTTCCACACCATCGCACGACCGGCCACAAAATTATCTAACTTGCACAGACATTCTTTCGGAAAGTGGGTTTCTGGGTCATGACTTAATAACGTTTGCACATCATTGCGATCGGCTCACAACCATTTTATTACTGCATTATTATTTTTATTTACAAGCTTTCAACCTGCCTTTTGTTGCCACACCGGAATAGCGAAACTTTCCCCAAGTGATAGTTTTCCATGAGTGGATCTTGTGCTTTTACCATCATGTTCATCACCACCAACAACAACTATTCAATTTATGGATTTTTCCAAAGACTTTTCCACCTCGATGTGGGCGAATTCCATACTTTCAGTTACATTCTTAGTGTTCTAAATTCAGAATGGACGCAAATACTTATCGCATTTCGGTTAATAACGTTTAAAAATGCTCTTTAATGGACGTTTAACACGGTTTTATGCCTGTCCCAGATATACGGGGTATCTCTAAAAGGTGGGAAAAAAATGGTTCAACATAATTTAGAAAAAAGTAATTTTGTGACGCACAACCGCAAATAGTTATTATAAATGAATGCTTTTAAGAAATGTTCAATTGAAATGAATTGAATGAATTCAATTGAACCTTGAAATTGATTCACTGTCGAACTGAGGTTCGTTGGGTTAGATCGGCATATTTTAGCCCCCGAACTTTAGGGTAAAAGTCCGCATTGGAAAAATATTTAGTATTTTTTTGTTTAAATTATTTGAATCAATAACGTCCAAAACACGTAAGGATAATTTGTTCAGACATGTACTATGAGCTTGTTGAACTTTTTATTTTAATTGTCGCACTAAACAGCATGGCCGAGGACAGAAGTCTGATTAAAAATGCACGTGTCCCGCTGAGTATTGAATAATTCAACATTGGTTTTCAACTGGTTAGAATATTGTAATCTTCTTGTTAGCATTATGGGACCTGACTGTTTCGGTGACATGCTATCTATGAGAGAGCGATAAGCCGGAAAAATTAATTTTATGAAGTGCACAGTAAAATTCGTAGTTGATGGCTGAGAATAAGTTAGAGAGTATACAGGCGCGGATCATATAAAATGATGACAAAAGTCTAATTAACCGAAAAAGACGTAATTCATCTGCAAGATCGCGTGCACCCAAATTAATTATACGGCTTGTAGAATAATTATTTTCAATATATCTATTCATTCGAGCGCTAATAACAGGCTTGCAAAAACCCGCTCTTGTGTAATTTTCTTATAAATTACCAATGACAATCTGCCTGGGTATCTGGAATACACGAAGGGTTCGAAAGTTAGAGAAGCAATTATCGGAGAAGGAATATGTTTAGCTTGATAACCACTCACGTTCCGCCTTATCGATATTGAGACTGTGATATTTAAACAATGACAGGTGCACCCGATACGGACATGTTATTAACATCGATAATGCAAAATGCAAACTTGTATTTAATAAACAGCGGACAATGTCGGGCATTGCTTTCTCTTTTTGTCGATAATTATCTGCCGCACCGCACTATTGGCCAGATAGATTAACAGCTTGTGCAAACAATCTCGACCATGAGATTCTTGCAGATTTTCACGTTTAATTTAACTTGCATCGGTTACGTAAACCCAAATGAGATCTTTCGGGCTGTTTAAAAGGCTTCAAAGTCATTATTTGCATTTGTGTTTATTTATTTGAATATTCTTGAATTCTAAGATTTAAAGAGGTTTCTGAGCAGGCAGTACATAGCTCATTATTAGGTCATCATTAATTTTCATGCAGAAAAAGTTCCGTATCAGAGTAGTTAAGTAGCACTTACCGTATCGTGTCCGGTCGGGGGTGTTTCAATTACTTCAGGTGCCATATACTCGATGGTTCCGCAAAAAGAGTAGGCCCGCTCAGTACTACCGGGGCCAAGGTTCTTGGACAGGCCGAAATCGGTGATAACGATGTGCCCTTCAGAATCAATTAGAATATTCTCCAATTTAATGTCTCTGTAAATGATGCCCAGCTGAAACAAATTTAAATATTTTTAATCACCAGTTCGGTAGCAATTAGACAATACTAAATTAATGTGCTTAAAAACTCAGGAGGAGGGGTCCGCAAACCGCAGTTTCGCTTGCAAAATCAACCAAACACGAAAACTCCGATATAAATTTCCTAACATACCTTATCGCAACTCAAACGAAAAACTACGGTTTGCAGATCAACTCCCCATTTGATTGTCTTATAAATGAAGAAGGATCAAGGGATTATTTGCCTAAATCCGAAAAATATTGATTGTTCTTGAATTTCTTAAACTTTCTCCTGAATTTTCAGTTAAGGAACAGGAGGGTTTTTTCAATTTTAACGATATAACATAGAAGGTCAATTCGAAATTTTTATCTTAATTCTGTCACCTTCAGTTTTCGCGTGCGATATACATATTGGCTTGGCAATGAAAGTATTTTAGGTTTCACGGCCAAACATTAGAATGAAGGCTATCAAAGACGCTTAAATTAAGGTAATAATACAGAACTTTATGGGAATTATTTTCATATACTACTATTGAAAACGAGTATTTTTGAGCCATATGGTTTCATAAAGTGTTTTGAGGACGCGATTAAAATGGCTTAAACAACGGCATTCAACAGCAAAAAAATTACTCGACATCGACAAAAACTCTACTAGTACAAGGAATTATAATGTTGCATAGGTAATCAACTGGAACATGTCACAAAATATACCTGCTTAGAAACTTGGACTGGTGAGCCAAGAGGCACAGAATGGAAATAAGGTTTCTAAGGACATTTCACTGGAATGTGAACTCCCCAATAAATCTTCAAATAAATAGATTTTTTCAAGAGGAATTCCTGATATATCACAAAACATACATCCACCAGAAGTGTGAATTTTAGGTCCCTAAAAATCTGTATAATAAATCTCGCAGCTTGCCGTAAACAGACTATACAATATGTGCCCTTCTTTCGCCCATTGCAACCTGCGTGACACCGTTCGGCGTACAGGAAAAACACCTGGTTCATGGATAAAATACGTGAAACCCATGGTGGGGTCTTTTACCCGAGACTGGGCTCAACAATTCCAAGTTCCACTGCATCGGAACCTATCGTAAATATTTATGCGTTCTGCTGAGGAAAATTACACTGATAGCAATTTCGACATCTATTTTCAATGAGAAATAAAATCGCACGCGAGGCGATGGAAAAGCAGCTGATTATCGGATGCACGTGCCTGATGGGAACCTTGATCTATGGCCAATGCCATCCACGCCGAAACCGAAAAGCAAATTGTTCAATTATTTTAATCGTTTTGTACCGCAGTTTGCAAGGATTTTCGTTCTATTAATTTGGTTGCTTTCCGGTCAGTTTTCTTATTGGAAAGGACATCGGGGAATCACTGTAAGGTGGAATCCTGGACCAGTTCAAAAGTCCAACAAGCCAGACTCGTGCATTGGCAATTTCTCAAAATTCACGATCTTATGCGGCCATTTCCATTCGACGCAAAAACTATTTTCGGCTCAATTAATCCTAATGTTACTCATTTATCAGCCATAATAGCATTTTTCTTTGAAAATATCAAATCTTGAATAGAAAGCTAAACTGAATGAATCAATGTATCAACTAAATGCTCGAATAATTCAATGCAACCCAAAAAACCCAAATGTTCCACACAACATGGACTAGAATCGGTATTTCCTAGTCCGTAAGTCGACAGAAGCCTTGAAAATATTTCTGAAAATCGTACTCATCCGAGGTGCGTGAAACCAGAGTGAACCATGAATTCTTGACCATTTCTCTTGCACCAGGCGGCCAGGCGAATGATACCAGTGGCTTTTCACTTATGGGTGATGAAACGAAACAGATGCACCTCGTCTGAGAGAAAAAATAGCCAGCTGTTGCTGGCTGCTTGTGCCACTAGATCCGAACCGCCCCCGGGGTTCATGATTTTCAGACCGTTTTGCGGTGCTCGATTCACGAACAGTTGCAAGACGGAAAAGGCCCAATTAATTAACACGACATACGTTCAATAACCCGCAGAATAATTCCATTCAAAGTGCACAAAGTTACAAGCCTGTAAACCTTCACTTTGTGAGGTCCACGTACCCAAAAAACAAAACACTCGATTTGTGAAAACAAAAACAGCGAGTAGGTATCTATGCAGCTGTTCGCAAAAGCCTTGCCTGCATTTTTCTATAATTAAACAGGTTCGTGGCAACATTTAAGTCAACTGCATAAATAAAAATCGGGTAAGTAACCTCCGAATCGATCGGACTTGGGTATAGGTGACTTTGCCTCGTGGTTTTCAAAAAACATATTTGTTCTCGACGTGTTTAAATTAAACTGAAGCGTGCATCAGCAAAATTATTATTGAAGCCAGTTTAGTCGCATTTTCAGTAAACGGCGAAAGTCTCAAAGTAATGATTCCGTTGCGAAAAACAATTCAATCGGTGCAAAAAATAAACAAAAAACCAAATGGAGATCAATTTAGACAACCAATAATTCGTTTAAGATGTGATCCAGACAACACTCGAAAACGCCACTCAAATCAAAGAACTGATAATTAATAATCAACTAAATGTAAACTTTTCAAAAAGTTACAGGATAATTTAAAAATTAGTGTACCAGTCGCTACTTTAAGCTTTTAATACCCTGCAACCTTGGATTTTATTTTTGCTCGGAAAAATTATGTAACGCTGAAGCTTGCAGTGCAAGGTTTCGATATACTGGTCGTCTCCAAAAAAAATCTGAGCTCTAAAAGCCTGGCCTAAACGCCATTGTTTCCTTGTAATAAACGTTTCATGGGTGGAAAGGCCCAAAATTCAAGGCTAACTAATTGGTAGAGCTTTCGATGGGTATAAACAATAGACCCACTCTTATTTAAACCCACGAACATAAGATGACAATAAATTCATCTCATGTAACTATAAATACTATGTATATAAAGTGTTCGAGTTTTGGCTGTTTCTGATAAAAAAAAGGAGCTAAACTCTTCAATTGTATAGGGTCTGTTCGTATTGTACAATGACATCGTGAGAAGACACGTAGTTTTCCACAGCAATTAATTGAAACACTCCAGCTCCAAAAAAGCTCCAGAGAGTAGGAGTATTGGAATAAAACTGGACAATATCGGGGAATTCTGTTGAAATGTTTAACACTTAAATTGCTGTGATGTCTAAACCACTTGTCCGATTTTAGGCATCTCGGGCTTGTTTAGCAGCAAAATGTAATTAGTTTGAACTACCTGTTGTAACAATAACAGTTTTTTTTTGTTGTTAACGCGGAAACTTAAATCCCTCGATGTAAATGAAGCGTTTAAACACTCTGTATTATTAGCCAGTCAAGGACGAAACTACGACGATCTAACCCATAAACATGAATCAAATAGAGCGTAGTGTTATAATTTAAACAATCAGCAGAACAAAGATTATTAAAAATGTGCAATTCCGAATCCATCAACAGAAAATGGCTTTTTTAATCAAAATTTTAAGCTAATTGTTAACTGTTAAGTTGAATTAATTCCGGGAATATTTGTGCAAGTCAGTTGCGTAAGTGTTTGGAAAATATCATGGAACTTGGAGATAATACAATTATCAATTATGGTTCAATAGCCAAGCAAAAGATGGTGGTGGTGGAGAAGGAGGTGAAAATACATTTAATAATGGCAAATACAGTAATACAATAAGCATCAGCCAATTGCGATCAAGTGGGAAATCAGAAGCTTTGAAGATAAGAAGGCAGAAATTCTTTGTTTACACGTGCGCGTGTTCACAAAGCTGGCATAAGTAAATCGACTTTTTCGTAAATACGTAACAGCAGATTTAACAATAAAATTAAAATTTGAATTAGGTATTTAAAGTGATTTAAATCAAATAACAACAAAAACAGTCTTCGTCGTTCTAAATCTACATTGTTCAAATAAAAATATTGCTAGCAAATAAACAAGATTGTTCATAAATGTGGATTTATGCGAATTCACAATAAAGATTTTCTATGTATTTTGCTCTCTTGATCGTGATCAGATCGCTCACCTTTGGTGAACAAAAAAAAACAAATACGCATCCAAGCTTCAAGCTATTTATGTAAATGATTATATTTGATAAGAATAAGCAAAAAGATCAAAGTCGAAAGCAAATAGTAACAGTTTTTCCATCAAATAGCCCATCACAAAGGTTGTATACCTTGAACATTTATTAAGCTATTTAGAACATTAGGACTTGAGATAAATCAAGTGAATATTCGGAATATTCGCTATTTGGCTTGGTATAGTGCGTCACATATATAACTATGATCACGTCACAATAAGCAAAAAAGATAGAGGCCAACCGTGAGCAGCACAATAATTTTGGCAGTGAGAATCAAAGACCTGCCTGGCAAAGTCCCAAGGTTAATTATTTTGATAATGGTCAAATGCGTATTAATTCATAGATGCAAGTCGTCATCAAACAGGCCGATTTGAGCTCTAACGGCCACACCAGCTACCCGATTTAATCTATATCAAAAACTTACCTGGTGCAATTTTTCCAGTGCTATGATGATTTCGGCGACGTAAACCTTGACTTCGCTTGGAGTAAACCGATCGCGCCGATACAAATGGCTAAAGAGTTCACCACCAGCAACATAATCTGGAATAGAACATACATTTATTTGACTATGTCATCACACGCAGTAATGCGAGGCTTATTTTTCCACAAAAAAATAAGGTGGTTTAATGTAAAAAAACAAGCCGAGCTTCCAACTTGACCCGTTTTACGACCACGAGTAAATTAATTTCGTCTCCTGACATTTGCAGCTAAAGTTTCGCAAAAAGTCCAGCAAAACATGGCACAGATCCATTAAAATTCCTTCCTTCGAATCGAAAATAGCGTTTTGTAATTTTCATTCGAATCGCTCTTAATTGATATTTACCAATAATCTACAGTACACAATAATCTTGAGATTATCTCCGTTTGTATACGAAAGAGTTTCGTTCTGTTTATTTAGGCACAGAGCAAGGGTCGTTGGACATAATCAGGCTAAATTTACTTGTTTTTGTCAATAACAGATTACTGGTAAATTAACCGCATGGGACATCAACAACAAATATTTACCTCTGGAAGATTTCTATAAAGTATTCGACAAACAATTTCGAATTAAGCCAGACCTTTATCCGGTTCAGTTCCACGAAATATGTAATAAAAATAAGGACATTTTCATTTCCAAGGGACAACTATTGCAGTGCAGATGGGTGTGCATCGACTCAACAAACGATTACAAATGAAAAATAACCTTCAATAAATTAATAGACCTTGTTAGAGTAGCTATTGTTACCACGGTGCGACCTTGCTGGTATAGAAAAGTAAGCCGGCTTCAAAATGGTATTAAACAATTTTTGGCGGTCGCGTTTTTCTTTCATATAATTTTTCAAAATTGTTGCTTAATTAGCGATTAATTTAATCTTTTGTTAAAATTTGCACAACATTATTCATGTAAGGATGGGAGTCGTACTATTGCGATTTTAATTTGATGGTATTAGGTAATTTTTTTTAAATGTAATTATAATTACATCTTAAGGAAACGTTTCTCAAATGTAGATGATTAGAGTTTAAACCACTCAAGAGAATGTTTATCTTAAATAACTAATATAATATATATAAAGTAATGAAATAAATATAAAAAAATAGTTTCATAGGGGATGAATAATTGAGAACATGTAAGAATTATACCGGTTGTTAAGGTCGGAATCTCGGTCGGCATAATAAATTACTTAGCTTGCGGAGCTCTAGATTATCGTATAACCGTACGGGGAATTTTCTAATTATTAACGAAATATTTCGCATAGTTTGCGCTGCATTGTGCACTTTTAAACTCACCGGCGTAGTTCAATAATTAAAATTGTGTTAATGGGCCTGAAGAGAAAAATGAAAAACTTAATATCGCTCATGCATTTTCATCCGCGCTGATGCCCAGTTACAAAAACTTCAAATTCTGGTTGAAATATTGCATCATTAAAAAATCACCAATGTTTTACATTTGTGGTTTCGAGCTTTGCACTTGTGAAGGTGAATTCTGCACCAGTGAAAGTGAGACGGCACTTTCATGTACACTTTCTCTTCTCAAGATTTGATTTAATGCCATTAGTGGTTGCCTAAGTGTTATAGTTTTAGATGTTTTTCCAATACATTCTACAAGGGCGAATTAGCAATTCAGTGGTAGCACCAGTGTCTGGACTTTTCATGTAATAGCTGGTTTTATCGCTAATTACACAGAAATAAACGAATATTCAGCTTAAATATGCTGCAAAATAAATAAGACCTTAGATTCCTTAACTTTGGAATCTGAAACATAAAGAATGTGAAAGCTGAAGGTCCAAAACATTGCACTTGCTACAACCCCAATCCCAATAACGGTCACTAGGAAAAACCACTCAATTTATCAGGGTCAGAACTGGCAATAAATCTCTAAAAGAATGGACAAAATCCCTCGTTTCACAGGTATGGCCAAACATAACATTGTTGTCGAATTCGTTGAAGACCTCTCGCAACCAGTGTTTTGTGGCTTGATTTGGAGAATTATCGCATGAAGTTAGCAAGTAAACGAAAAACAAATGGATGTTCTAATAGTTTCAGCATGGTGAAGAAAGCAATCGGTACGCACCAGGCCAAATTGATAATTATTTCATAACGCAAACGACGTTTCTCTTTTTTTTGAGGAACTGAGGTGTATTGTCGGTCTCGTCACGCATTGCAACTCTGCTGCGTTGTATAACGATAAGAATGACCTAAATTTTGAAAAATGTCACTCTCAAAGGCAACCTGACCGGTATATTAACCATGATAATGATGTCCACCACACGAATTCGTAAACAAAATCCGGTATTTCAAGAAAATTAGATATTTTTAACCGAAGTGAAAATTCGAATTCCAGAAAAAGTTTCATTTAGTTTATGGCTCTTCATGCGGAAACAAAATGACCACAAAGAGATGTCTGAGGCTTGCTATTAGCTGGTGTGAGGAGATTTTGACTGATGGGACTTTAATTCAGCTGCTATACATCTCAATTTAAATATCCTAATAGTTTATCTGAGAGTGAATAAATCAATACAAGGCCTTTAAATCGTTTCTCCATTGAACTAAGCATGATTATCATTAAGGCTGCAAGCTCTTTTTTAACAACGGTTAAATGGCATTGACATTTCGTAGCACAATGTAATCTTAATTAATTACAAAAATTTCGGTGGTAAGAGCTGGAAAGTTCATCGTTAAAAATATACATGTACATTAAAGCCCCAACACGTACTTATTTAACTGACCGGTACTTACCTTCCAACTTGTTTGTCTCTAAAACGTTTTAACTTTACTCAAGACTAATTGGAAATTGAAAAAAATTAACTGAAACTAGAAGCCTTGATGAATAAATTATTTAGACAAGTAAAACCAAAAGAACAAAACTAGCAATCAGTGGGATTTTCAATCAGCCGATTGAAACGAGACAGGTTTCCATTGCGAAATCTTCTCCATCGCAACATAAAGCATTTGCGCGATTTTACGCATAATTTTGTTAGTGATTTTCATAAAAATTCAAATATTTTCTTTATTGATAGAAATATTTTTAGAGATGAAATTTTAGATCATATTTTGAAAATAAAAATAACAGTTAATTTTTTAATGCAAAACTGAATCAAGAACACTGAATGAAAAGAATTCACTAATTGAAATCCTAGTAATTTTTGAAGAAACTTATTAATATTTAAAATGTGCACATTATCCCCTCAAATGATGTTATTTAACGAAAAATATAAACAATTTAAGGAAATGAACTATTCGAAAGCAGTTTGCAATATCAAACTATCCATTATAGCGTTAATTGAACATTAAGTCAAGTAGAAAGTCATAGTTAGAAAGAAATGATTTTGTCGATTGAAAATGGATAAGCAATGGAGATATAATGACACATTAAAACCGTGATATGAATGAAGTTTTTCAGCAAATGCCCTTCCAGAATCAACACTTGATATAATTTTCATGGGAAATTAGAAGAATCAGACGTGTCCACACCAGAGCACCCCTAATAGTTTGAATTAAATATTTACAACTAAGAAAGAGATCATTTTCTTCTGTGAACAGATTGCTTCTGCACACCCTTCAATATTCAAGAACCAATTTAATATGCATTAGAAATGCGAAAAATTTGTTTATTTTGATTGACTCCTCACTGTTCTTGATGCACAAAAACTAAAGCAAGTGCAGGCCTCAAATATTGACGATTGACGATGATTCTGATTAAATCAGACGCCAGTTTACTCCTGACACCTTCATCAATTACCCAACGACATTCAGCTTAATTAGTTAACCAATGAATGGCTGAATAGTTAGAATAACTCTTCCCAGTTGCACTCTGCTCGCACACAAAGAAAGATACATATTAAAATGCTTTTCTGATGACTAAGTTCTGCCATTGTGTGACCGTGTGGGCACTTCATCGAATTAACGCCGAACATGGAGTGAAGCGCAAGAATATTCTCTTGGAAGCTCGGCATGTCGAAATGATTTCACATAAATGACTTAAAAAAAGACTTACCTAATATTAGATGCAGTTTGGATTCCGTTTGGAAGGCATAGTGGAGGGTAACCAGAAAAGGGCTGTCGCGAATAGCTTCCAACACTTCGCGCTCGGTCCTCGTATGTTCAGTACTTTTCTTTTTCTGTACGATGGTTGCTTTTTTAAGCACTTTCATCGCATAGAGCTTGCCAGTATCAGAACCACCCTGCTTGCGAACTAGGAAGACTTTCCCATAAGCTGTAAACAATAAAAAAACAATATAAATTTCGCAATAACAAGAATTCGTTTTGTGCAAATGTGCCCAAATATTCCGAAGGTCGGTCCATTGATCAACCATTTAAGCCGGTGCTTAATCACCAAGTTGAAACAATGTGTGTTGTATTTTCCCGATGTTGATACGTTGGCCAAGTTGGAGTAATGACATTGATAAAGAAAACAACATTAAATCAAGGATTTTCGTTAATTATGGCACGCAAGTGGAAAATATGTTTGCCATTTTTGCAGTATCTGTCTTCAGCAATTATCTATCTTATCGCCATCCGGCTAAATAGTACACACAATTTCCAGGAAATTAATAAAATCGGTAAATTACGGTTCGTATCCCAGTCTTACAGAATTATGCAATAATTCTGAAAGATCCTTGAATCAACTCCAAAGTGAGTTTTAATAAACAGCATACCTACTATCAGTTTTAATTTTATAATTCAACCTTGGTTACAACCATCAAGCTGTAGTTTAATTAGCTAAACATTAAATAAGCTAAGGGTGATAATCGAGCAATTATCAAAACCAGCTAATCATATTGCGAAAATCGCAATTAGAAAATGATTTTTGAAAAAAAAACTTGTAACCAGCGAACCATTTGCTGTATGTATTCGCTGATAATAATCGGTTAAATCGACCTTTGGCATTATGCCTTATTGCGCATTGCGAATTTCAAAATTGCTCTAAAACAAAGCGTTTGTATAAATTTTCTTGATTTGGCAAGAAACGTAGGTACACTTCCGCTTCAACAAAGGAAATATGATTTCGAAAACTTATCAATTGTTTGCTCAAACTTTAGTTTATCGGTGTCTAGTCGAGTACGAATGACTTTGGAATTTACTACTTTACCTAAACATGCTGTCCGACATGTATCTAAATGAGATAAAACAATGATTTTAGGTCAAGTTCTCACTGCCAAAGCAGTTGAAGACGTTTTTAGCATCGCGTATGTAATTATATAATGAATAAGTGACATTTGGTAAGCCAATGGGCTGAAACCGCACTATCGCTTCTATCTTTACTACTCGAGGCCCCCATAACGCAACTTTTACTTGGACCATGGTTATATATAGGATAATTAGCATTGCGTTAAAAAAGAAAGTGCCTGCGATACATTAATATATATCGTATATCAATTTTTTAAGTCTTCTGCTGGGCAAATAATAGGCAATTATTGCTAATAACACGCCACCGAAACGAATTTCGCAATTTTACAATAGTAAATAGTTAAAGTATAAATAACATTTAGGTCAATGAAAGAGTCCAATTCACATGACTTTGCTATTAGAAATTTGGTGGAGAGTTTCTATGATAGAAATACGTATACAAAAGTGTCTGAACGGAGCGTCCTTTGGCCCCTTCTAATCCCGTAAAAGGGGGCAAACACCCCGCAAAATTGCGCCTCCGATAACCCAACGGTTTTTGCCAGTCGCGGGCCCCATAGTGAGGATTGAGGTCAAAAATCCCCGTCTTTCGACGTTGCCATCGTGATTCGTTGCTACCAAATTTATATGAAGAAAAATGTAATTAAGTAGGTAGTTAAACCAACAAATCGGTACTTTCACTAACAGGATTAATAAAATATGCGCGTTTCAGTGATCAGCTACAAAAAATGAATGAAAGGCTTACAAAATCAGAATATCGATGTTTCATGTGCAGTTAATATATTTTTTATCTAGACATTTATCAAATAATTCCGGCAGTATTTGCGAACATGGCGCGCCTAAGGTCGAAACAAGTATATGCATAGCACAACTGCGCCTGGTATATACCGTAATAAGTACCATTGAAGGTTAAAAAGCCATGGTTGCAGTCATGTATATATCTTTAAATCAAGGAAGAATTAAAACTGTTAATATTAGTAATTGGCAAATAAGAAATGTTGTAAAAAGGACGCAATGATTGCCAGACTGTAGAGCAAAAGAAGGATGTCGATGCAATTCTTGCCATTCACTAGGTATTTTTCGTTAGCTACTGTTTGAATTTCCGTTAACAAACGATGATGGTTTGCATAAACTAGGTCTATAGGCTAAGTGTTTATGAATAGAATGATGAGCAAAGATAGGACAGTTGAGAGCAAAATTAGGGGCGTAAATAGTTTTGGTAAATAGAGTTTTTGGGCATTTTGAAGCAACATCAGTTAGCTGCGGCTAAAACCCTAACTTTTGTCGATAGAAAATACCAAAGCCTCCGGTTGTTTTGAGCTCAATCAATGTTATCACTTTCAAGTTTCCAAGATTTAAATTTGAAATGTAAAAAGCCAATACGATAAAATTGCAGTATATTGCCTGAATAATGACTCATTTTACTGCCGATCATTTAATAATTAAAATAAAAACATCAAAAAAGGAAACATGATATTCTGCCTATGACTAGTAAGTATCAATTAGAGATATTAGACTAAAATTTTTACTCTAATAACAATAAGCAACGTGACTCATTATGGCTCATTTATTATGGCCTGTGTAATCGATCAAAGACTTTACATCAATTTCATGTTTGCCCTTCTGATTGCAATACGGCAAATAATAAATGAACTTGATCTAAATTGAACCGAACAAGATATGATTTTTTCAGTGTCTAACCGTTCCAATCCAGTTGGATTCCACTCTATTCATCCAAATATTGAGCGTTGCGCCTAATAAACCACCAAAGCTAGATCAATTTCCTTAATAATTGTGCGTGCAAAAGAAATAGGGAAAATACCAATTTAAAATAAAAAATATTTTAAGTGTATCTTTGCCACTTGCCACTTAATCAGGCCCTGAAGGGTATTTCCAAGTAAGTAATTGAAGACATTTGCCTTGGTTTTTCCTAGCATGGTTTATCTACTTTCAACTTCGTTGTCTTGGCCGAGGCATCAATGCGACTTTAGCAATTATTATAACTGTGAACTGATTTCAAGCCATTCGGCTAATATACAAAGCGGTTTGGCTTCATGTATGTGCAACAAAGTTGTTTGCCTAAATAATGTTCAACATTGTAACCGCATAGGGGAGTGTGTTTTTGAAAAAGCAGCGATTTTTCGGTTATCTGCCAGACACCTGGTTCATTACACTTTCTCACAACTGTTATCATGTTTACAAAACCGGAGAAAAATAATATAGAAGTATTTACCCAAAGACATTAGTCTCATTGAAACATTTTAAAAGTATCACTTATGGTGTGGTAGGTGAAAAGTGAACTTACACTGCAAATGATCAAGGTTGAGGCTTGAGGCCACAGTGTTGAACAATAAATATTTAATAATTTACACAGATGCGCAGAAAATGATAACTTACCTCCCGTGCCGAGCACTGTCAGGACGTTGAAGTCGGTCATTCCGACTCTCTCGTATCCCGACAGATTCACTGAAATAAAAAATATATATTTATTACAAATATAGAACAAAATTGAGGAAATAGCACGTTTTAAATAACATAACGCCCATCCTCAAGGGATTAGAATTAGGTGACTTTGATGAGCAAGAAAACGTACACTAATGAGCAGTACCATCCGGTATCACTTCCTGGCACTTCATTTCGACATCGCATAGAATTTCCAGTAGTTTGCTCTCTGAACAATATTTAACTGCAATGTTCTCAAATAAACCATCGTATGTTGCAATTAAACCTTATTGAACTTCGAGCAGTTCAAGTATGAAAGAATGAATTATTCAAAATACTATAACAAATCGAAATGAGCAGCTGAAAGCGCCTAAAGGGGCAACGAACGACCAGATATTGCTTACAACAGCAGACGACCCATAACTGCTGCGCTACGAAAAGAGATACAAGAATGTGGCCTATGCAAAAGGTTTATTATTCTATTTTTAGAAATCATGGGGAAATTTGGGATTATTGATAATTGCATATTAATGACGAATTGAAAATCCACTAGCATTTCCACAAGTCTTACCCATATGTACCTACTGGTCTTAATGTGGAAAGAAGGGTGCAATGCACTTCCGCCTTCGAGGGGGAGCAATGCATTCTAAATATGCCCGTATGAATGACACCCAAACTCGATTTTTCCCATTACCTATTCGAGCACGTATTTAACAAATGCAATCGAATTTATATTAGTTGTGTTGCCTCATTTGCATTTTGCAACTTTGCTTTTATCGATATCTATAATCTGTCAGTTTGCATATTTCGCTTAAAAGTACGCTAATTTCCCGAGCAATTTCCCAGATTAAAATCGGTCTATTACTTCTTTGTTTTTAGTTTAACAAAGAAGTACCCTTGATTGCTAAAACAGAAATATGAATTCATTGAAAACGTACAAAATAGAATAAAAATATGGACGATCTGAAAAGAACTAGTTAATATCACCATCGGGATAGTTACCATTATAAAAGTAAAGAAAACAGGACATGAACATGTAGGATAAGGGACTTTTGCAGTGGGCTCGAAAAGCTCCAATATTGCAATAAGTTCATAACATGGCAATAGCACACAGAGACAAGTGATAACAGGGGATAAGACAAGGGGTAAATTATTACTTGTCTCTGGTAGTACCTACTAGTCGATGAAACTCGACCCACATCACTTAAGTGAAAAGTCATCAGTCTGATTTCCAACAAATATATCTCAATCATGTGCAGATCTCCGCATTTGGATCAACCTGTGGTTAATCTCACCATAAATTAGGGTACCGAATGGGTTAAGTAAGTCACATGAAACTAAAAGTATATAGACCATGCTAAAAGGGTTGGGAAATACGAAAAGTACCTGAAGGTCAAGTCAATTCGTTGTCATGTCTAAACCCATCTCACCCATAAAGGGCTCAAGATCATAAAAGTTTATAGGGTGTGATAAAAGGCAAATAAATCAATCCTGAAACCCACCAGGGAACCTTAAATTGCCAATGTGAAAGCAAAGTGCCGGTCAATTGACCCGATCTAGGATCCACGAACCTACCAGTAAAGTAACTGGGTAACTGTCCTCATAATTGATCTTCCGCGGAAAAGAGCAAGTTTGTTGAACAGTTTCACGGTTTGGTCATCATAACGCAGAGGTCCTTAAACGGCCTTGGAGGGAAGTGCCGCTATGAGGTAACGGCCGCGGCTGGGCCCACAGATTGTGGCTCAATTATTTATTAATCATCGGCGAGAGAACTTTTGGTATGATTGAAAATTAAGCTGCTAAACAGCAAAAAGTTATTAGCTCCGAAGGCGATCTAGGGCTTTTCAAGGAACCAAATTGATAAACCGAGTAGAAAATGAGGAACATTATCAATCTACAAGAAAACGATACCGTGGGCAAACATTTGAACGGGCTGCGGATTTGCATATTTAAACTAACTAAATAAATTCAATTATAGATCGCTACAAGAACTCTACAAATTCAATGCAAAACAGGGAAGACAAAATCAAACTAATTGATTGATATAAGGAATTAAACGCCCAATTTGCAACAATCGCGTTTACGATCGGAGAACCAACATAAAAAATTGGGACACAAGTAGTCAGAAATGTAACATGCAAATCACTAATTTTGATTACAAAAATTTGGTATTAAATCAAGTATAAAAGAATTTTAAAAAAATTCAAACATTGATTAGTACAAGTGTACCTATATGTTGTCGGCTATTCAATTAACGTTTATGCTGCCTTAACTATTTTCTACAGCCAAAAAGCTGCAAAACCAATGTGATATTCTGTGCCATCGTACATAAGAATTTGGTCAACATGGCTTTTTGTTCATGCAAAGAATTTAAAATGCACGAAAAATAGTTCAAATTTGGTCTTTTAGACAAAACACGAAAGAACACAGAATAAATGTTAAAATGTAATGTAAATGTAAAAAGAAAAAGTAACTAATGAGTTCAAAATGAGCAATGGACAAAGTTTCCCTAGGATTTACTGACAAATAATTTGCTACAAACCTAGAGGTGCTAAAGAACAAAAACTCAAAAAACTACAATTATCTAAAATCAATAAACACAACTAACTTACCCCCTGCAAAGCAACAATCAAATCCTATCATCGTTATTATACAATGTATTACAAATGTACACAAAGCGTATCGTAGTATCCAACTAGTCACAGTAACTCAAAGTATCGAACTGATCACAGTAAGACATTTACAAGTCCAAATATCGAGACGAAACTGAATGACCAAATGAAGAAACAGTCCAAGTTGGTCAGATACTGCTCTACTGGAAGGGATGCGACCCGACCACTTATCGCAAAGATGGCAAGTTAGTGCAACCAATACGACCAAGACCATTAAGAATTTGAAAATCCCATTAAAGTCTAATAAACTTTATTGACACGTTACATTCTTATTTAGTAATATTCTTTTAATTTTTTTTAGTGATTTCTATCTGTCTTTTGATTGAACATATTCATGTATTTATAATATTATATACAGGGTGAGTCAGCGAAGCGAAACCCCCCTCTTAGATCGTACAGATATAGCGACTCAAAAAAACGCGTTCATATAAAACTGTTGTGCTTGTCGCCAAACTGTTTGTTCTTGTTACCTTAAAGTATAAAGTAAAGTAAAGTAAAGGCACCTCAAAATAAAGTGATGATAGTCACGTTTATTTTTTTAAATGGAATAGCCGACTTTTTAATCCGGATTCAGATTCTGGATTAATCGAAGTATTTTTTGTATAACATACTACATATGTGACTAAATTCGTAAAGTGAAAAGTAAACTATTATTTTTTTTACTAAAATTAACGATATAATTTGAGACCGGAACAAAACAAAAACAAGAAAACAGAACATTTGTTCTAATAATTCTTAAAAATTATTTTCTAATCTAAGAGGGGGTCTCGTTTCGTTGACTCACCCTGTCTAGGTATTCCATATTATACTGGGTTTTTAGCTATTTCTTGTTATAGCTGTTTCTATCCATACAATTTCCTTTTCGCCTAAAGCTTTTGAAAAAACCAATTTTGTTATCAATGGCAGGTTTAGACATAATCGTCCTATAATAGATCAGTATAAATCAAATTTATAAAAAATAGAAAACGCCTCCTACAATTTTGCTCCTACTACTTCAGCCCTCCCTGGTTCCTTGCCTCTAGGTTTCCCCACCCATTAGGTGGGGGAACCTAGAGGTTTATACTCTCTCTCTCGTTTACTTCTCTCTCACTTCAAAGATCTGATTCTACTTTATCTGTCTTGACTCTGAAAAGGGTTTTCACAAATTATTGTATGCTTTTGTCGATAAGAGACTACTTAATGAGTAATTAAGGGCAGTTTAAAACTAAAAACAAACACTCCAAAATGATAAAATAATTAGATTATAATTGGCAGTTGCCATCGTTAACAGCGTTTTAATTTGGATTTAAATAATATAAAAACTTACTTAAAACTATTAGTAGAAATACCTACTAGTAACTCACACAAATGCCATTTCCAGTAAGGGTACTTGGTATGAGGAATCGCAACAAATTGAAAAATTTTAGGCTAATCAGTGAAACCACCGCGTACTAAAAAGTACTTAAAAAGTTCATTTTTGTTCATGAATATTGCAGTGCTGTTAATTATGCAGGAGATCGAATCAAGATAAAGTCAAAAAGAGTTTTAATCATCGTGCGTTATTACAACAACTCACTTGCAGCATTAACATAACCAAAGTCCATAGTATAAAAACATGAAATTGCGATTTCAATTAAAAATAAATTGCATTAAACCTTTATCTCTGTACTTAGTCGGTTTTTTAAGTTCGTAACCATTAAGCAAATTAATTAGTGATCCAGGAGTTCATACATTATTTAATATTGTGAGCCTCTAGCCAAATAAACTCTATTACTATGGAGAATATCATGGCAATCAATAGACACCCAAGACAGTCCAAAGAGAAAACAAAAACAAGCGTAGTGTTTTTATACAAAAAAAAACAACAAATAGCGTAGTTTCATCGAGCATGACGCAAAATTGAGCGTTTATACATGTGTATGTACTACAATGAAAATATAATCGCATGACGTAAAAGCAGTAGACATATCGCGAAATGACGATAGAAGTGTGCCAATGTTAGGTCATGGGCCGCGACTACAAGGAACAACAGCTTAATTCTTCGGCACACCCACCTTCATTAGACTAATGTGGCCTAGATAAACGTGCATTCAAATTGAAAGTGATTTTTGCCAAAACCTTTGAGTCTTTCAACGCCAGATTGGCCACAAAAATTGAGAGATGCATTGAAATATTACGTCGATAAGTTATACGTATAGAACTTAAATTGAGTGGAACAAGATGATAGACCTAAGGGGAGATAACAGGTTATCAAGCAGCTGATTTTAATTGACCTTCTGCGTCTTAATACGAGAACATAATCTTTGCCCCATTTCCTTCATTAATTGCATTGTTTAGTCAAGTAAAACGATTTATTAATGCGCTTAAAAAATA